CCTCCTTGCTTGATTTAGAGGAGAGATTGTGGCCTTGCAGGGGTGTTGAGAAGGATTTTTTTTTTTTTGAGAAGGATTTTTATAGACCATCCTGTTTGGCTACATGGATTGGCAGATGGCAATGTGTTGGAACTTGTCCACCAGGATTTTCTCTGAAGATTGTTGGAATAGGGAGAAGAGGACCCCCTTGTCCCTGGAGCCTTCTCTGGAAAGACTGCACTGAGGGACAGGCCTTGGCCTCGGCCTCAGCCTTGGATGATGTGGGGTTGTTGACTTTGACCCAGAGGCTCCAGGTTTAGGCAGGGACTCCTGTACTTACTTTTCGTGGCCCTGAGGGGAAGGGGAAGGGCATTACCCTAAACTGGCCCTGTGGTTGGGTTGCCTGTGTGGCTCAGTGGTTGAGTGTCTGCCTTTGGCTCAGGGTGTGATCTCAGGGTCCGAGATTGAATCCCACGTGAGGCTCCTTGCAGGAGGTCTGGTTCTCCCTCTGCCTATGTCTCTGACTCTCTCTCTCTGTGTCTCATGAATAAATAAATTAAAAAACTTAACAAGAAATAAACTGGCCCTGTTTGATACTGAGCATCTTGGACAGCTTCAGGCTACTTCCTAAAACTGACCTGTGTGCTGTCGATCCTTAAAACATCAGTGGAGTTTGAGATTTGGTTAACTTGGGTCCTGACCAGTGTTCCCTGAGCCCGTTAACCCTCTGAACTAGGCATGTAACCCAGCTGGGATCCAGAGTGCATGTCAGTGAACGAGCCATGGTTTGCTGAGAACTCCCTCTTCTAGTGATGAGGTGCACAGAGACTGTGGTGGTTGCTGCAGCATGTGGTGCTGCTTTCCTGAGTTTGGGGTGCAGGGTGCCAGAGGCATTTAAATGGGTCACCTGGCAAACCTCCCATCTATATCCAAAACTCAGCCTCTGCGGAAAAGTTTCGTTGGTTGGTTACTTTATTAATTGGGACATTTTCAAACATCCACTTGACATACCTGCCATTCATCCAGGTCAACAGTTATTAACATTTAGCCACCTTTGCTCCAACTAAATTAAATTACAGGACATCCTGTCATTTTGTCTCTATGTATCCATTGTACATGAGCATGAGCATTTTCTACACAACCACAATGCTGTTCTCTTACCTTACAAGATTAATGAAACCTTTGATTGGTGCATTTAGTAATTTTTTGTACATGTGTTCAGCCAGAGAACTGTTTTTTAACATGTCAGAGGTACTGTGTATGGATCCAGAATTCAGCTAAAGGGGTTGGGGGGCAAAGCCTCTTTCCAGTGGTGAGTCTGAACTGAACTCCCAACACTGAACCAGCAGCTAACAACCACCTAAGTTAGGAATCGGAGCAAAACTACTTAGGACATCAGTGTTAAAATTCAAGTCCGTGCGGTCACCAGCTGGCAGGCCCCAGCAGCCCACGTTGACGGGCATTTCTTCTTTGTTTCCCAGCCCTTTGCCATCAGCAGCTCATTGCAGCCTCAGTGCTGTCCTGAGGGACCTAACCCTGGCTATTCTAGAGGGGACTCCGAGAGACTGGCTGGCTAAGGGCAAGACAGAGACAAGGCCAGGCTCAGTGTTTGATTCCACCCCTTTTGTGAAAGAAGGAAGGGTTACCCTCACTTTGGGGGTTGTGCAGAAACCTCCTCGGGAGCAGCACTTTGTACCCGAATGTGAAGTGCCAGAGTCCCTCCTGCTCTTGGTGGGCAGACCCCTCTAACCCGTGCACTCATGTTCTATGGGACAAAACAGCCCTTGGCTTGGGATGACTGGGGAACCACATCCTATCCAGTGACCACTAGGATGTATCTTGGACAGGGGTGATTCATAAAACTCAGGAATTGCCATTTTTGGTTGACCAGTCCCATTTCCCAAGAGGTGGCTGGCCACTGGAGAGGCGTGAGATCCTTGAGGTCACACCAGAATGTTTTGGGCCACAGGCCATGTCCTGGATACCAACAGGGATGTGGGCTGGAGTGAGCCCCTGTAGATGCGGGTGCTGAGCCCTGGAACGGCCCCACTGTTCAGGAACCAAGTTAGTGAAGCTGTTGTTTACCTAGAGATCAGGCTGGTTTGGGTCTTGATTTTGAAGGTGCATCTCAAGAAAGAAGAAACACCAAGTGACACGGAAAGGTTAGATGTGCCTAGTCTGAGGATAGTCTTTGTTGTTTGGTTGGTGTTCCGGTTTTGTTTTGTGTTTAGAACTAAACTCAAATACAGCCCAGCAGCTGGGGCTTGCCGTATCCCAGCAGCCTCTCACTTTAACTTTTGTGAGGGCTTGTGTCCCCCCCCCCTTTTTTTTTAAGATTTTATTTATTTATTCATGAGAGATACAGAGAGAGAGAGAGAGAGAGAGAGAGAGAGAGAGGCAGAGACATAGGCAAGAGGGAGAAGCAGGCTCCATGCAGGGAGCCCGACGTGGGACTCGATCCCAGATCTCCAGGATCACACCCTGGGCTGAAGGCGGTGCTAAACCGCTGGGCCACCAGGGCTGCCCGTGTCCCTTGTTTTGTCAACACTGCAGACTGTCTCTGTCCTGCCCAGAAAGAGGCTTTTGTCTGGGCCAGCTTAGCTTTCAGGGGTTCCATCAAGATCTTAAATCCAAGACCAGCTCTGTCCTCTTCTAAGTGACAGGTCTTCTAGCAGGGCTCCTGCCAGGGATGCCACTTCTTCCTTAGGTGGAGGCAGTACCTCCGCTGCTGCCTGACCCCGGACCTGTTGGGCTCCACCAGGCTTTGAGCAGGAACAGACCCATGTCCCTATGAACATCCCATTCTGTCCCACTCAGAGCCCTGGGTGAGGGCACCTTGTGTTGCCAGGAGGGCCACGGGAGGGGTCCCCCCCCTTGCAGACCCCAAATAGGCAGTGTGCAGGCACTGTCTGAAAACATGGAGGGAGGAGGAGAAAGCAGGTTCCCTCTCATTTCAGCTGTTGAGCCAGTGCTGTGCAGAAGGATGTGTCAAGGTGGCATGGTCCCCACCTCTGGGATTTTGGCATGCGCTGCAAAGACAGAACCCAGTGTGGCCACAGAGCCACAGAGCTCCTGTAGTACTTCCCCTTTCTCCTGCCCTCAGCCAGCCCTCAGTTGACCCTTGGCCTGACTGCTCAGCAGCACATGGTCCTAGGGGGACGCCAGCCCCCGACTTGCCCTCAGAGGAGCCCTTCCTGCTGAGTAGAGCATGCTGGGGTTGTGTCCAGGGCTTAGAGGGTGAGCAGCTGCACCACCATCTCCGTGGTCAAGCCTCGGGGTCACTTTCAGCCCCTGGCAGCTGGCACATTAGGACAGGTCCTCCCTGGAGACCCGGAAATACCTGAAATTTCACGGGAACCAGGCACCAAGAATGTCAGGGCAGCCAGAGCAGGTGACCTTGAAGGATTGTCGCAGGCACTTACTTGGGCTGGCTGAGTGCTGAGGACTGAGGTCCGGGTCCCCGGGACCTTTGGGCATCCCTGGCACTGTCTTGGTGCACACTCACAGAACCAGTTTCTAGAGCAAGCTCAGGTGGTTGGTGATGACTGTCCTCTCAGGGTCCTGCCACTACCACCATTTGTTATGAAAAAGTTTGGGCGTGTAGAGAAATTGAACGTGTGGGCAGTAAGTTCCTGTATTGTCTTATCTAACACCTGGATCCAGTGGTTCATAGTGTTGTGTCGTGTTTGCTTCCTCAGTAGTTAGAATCTCTTGAAACACTAAAAGTTAGTTTCCGATCTCATGGTGCCTCACTCCCAAGACTTCCTGCGTTATCACACCCTTCATTTTCCAAGACTGTCAGTAACAGCTTCAGAGCATCAGCTGCTGTCCCGCCTATGTTTACATTTCCCCAGAGGGTTATTTTCACTTGTTCTTTTTCCCAGTAGGGATTTACACATTATATTTGGTGGTAGGTCTCCTCGCCTCTTTTGGTTTACTTTTTTTTTTTTTAATAACCTTCATCTTTTGAAGATACCAGGCCAGTTGTCTGGAATACCCCTCATTCTGTGTTTCTTGGACATCTTGGCACCCTTGACCTACAGTTAGGCCTGGGGGCTCGATTGGGTCCGGGCCCAGCATTTTAGGTGGAACCCTGAGGTGGTTAGTGTATTTCATATCGAGGTTAGAGGCTGGGGGTCTGTCCTTGGGGACCAGGGGCTGCTGGACCTGGGTTGGCAGGGTTGCCTTTCTCTGCACACTCAGTCAATCCTGGGGGTCCAGGTGCTGTGTCGCAGCCTGGACTGAATATACTCTCCTGACTTAGAAGAGTTGTTAGCAGGGCACACACCTGGCTTGCAAGCTCAGGTCACAAATTCAAGCTGCACGTTTTGTGTGGAGGTTGTTGAAAGACAAGAATGTAGGATCCTTTGTTATGTATTCATAAATTATTAAATATAAGTAAATAGGTAAATAAGTAAAATAATATATATATATATATATATATATATATATATATATATATAATTTTATTTATTTATTTATTTTAAATAAAAGAGTTGTTGGCAACTCTTGACTCCTACTTTGACCTCTGGCATGTCTCCCTGTCTCTATTCCTGCCCAAGAGTCCGTCTGCCTGGTCAGTGAGGAGAAGCGGTCCATCCAGCAGGTGCCACTTCCACCAAAGTGCAGGCCATCCATGGCCTCCAGCAGGCCGGCCGCCCCAGACAGGACCCAGGTGGGGATAAGTCAGGGTGTAGGGCTGGAGGCTCTCTGTGGCAGCAGAAACAGCAACAGAATTTTGACGTGAGACCAGCCAGGGAGGAGCCGGGATGGCCCGGGGCAGCCAGTTTCCTCCTCTACAGTGGGGGCGACTGTGCCACCTGTGCTTGGGGCTGAGAGACAGCACACTCCGTGCAGGTGCTGAAGACACGTCCATCCACGGGGGACAATACTAGCTTCCCTGTCTTGCTTGCTTCACAGGTTAGCATGAGGAGGAGGAGGAAGTAGCATGCGGTGACAGTGCCTGGTTGGTGGGCCGTGGGGGCGTGGCCGCCCTCCTGACGCCACTTCCCTCCCTGCAGGTGTGAATGACAGAGGTGGTGCCGTCCAGCGCCCTCAGTGAGGTCAGCCTGCGCCTCCTCTGCCACGATGACATAGACACCGTGAAGCATCTGTGCGGCGACTGGTTCCCCATCGAGTAAGTTGAATGGCGCCCACTGTCCCCGGCTGCAGCTGGGAGGGGTGGGGGAGGAGAACCAGAGCTGGGAGACTTGCTGTGATGGCCAGCATGACCTGGAGTTGCCGTGGTGGCCCAGGATCACCTTGCCTGTCTTGGACCCCAGGCCTGGCTCCCTGACTGCCCTCAGCCTCTTTCCACCTCACTGTGTCCCTCCTGCAGAGAGTCCCCAGAAGGCCTTTCCTGAGATTCTTTAGTTAAAAAGATGTCAGTGCAGTGCTATTGACAATTCAGAAAAATGAGAATCAGTTTAAATACCATAATGGTGAGGACTGGGTTACACACGTTGGGGTTTGTTCCTGCAAGTGCTTGTTATTCAGCCAGGGGAAGTCTGCTGAAGAGGTATATTTTTTTATTGAGAATTTTTTTAATGAGATAATAAATGAAAAGAGAAACTAGAAAACAGTGTGTATCCCAATCCTGCATTTATTTAAAAACATGTACAAGATAAAAAAGCTTATGAGGCTATAAACCGTGTAGCAGGGTATTTTCAGTAGTTTGTGGTGGGCAGAGTATTGGCAGCTGCAGTTCTGTCTGTTGCTAATGTGCACACACAGCGCTCACAGTGAGAAAACTAGGTGCAGGCTTTTTATTTCACAAACTGGCAGCTAGAAGATCAAGCCCTAGGAGTGTAAGGTGCAGCATGCCAACATGAATGCTGCTGTATATACGTATGTGTAGAAGCTGCGCAGATGATAAGGCTTGAGCTCTCATCACAAGAATTTATTATTTTCAAAAAAAAAAAACAAACCAAAACCACACCCTGTTAAAAGTGAATTAGACACTGCCAAGGATCGTGTTTCCACACGTCCTCGCCGCAGACTGGTGGATTAGCCTGCTGCAGGTGGGGGCGACCAGGAACCTCCTGTCTCTACTGGGATGTGAGTCGCCTCAGCGGCTTGACGGTCCACGGAGGGTGCTCTGCTTCTGCCAGCAGTGCCTCCGCCGCCTTGCAGCCCAGAACTTGCTTGGATTCAAGCCCACTGAGCGTGCTGGGCTGTAGCCTCCGCCTCCAGGGGCGCCCGACCTGCCTGCCTCTTCTCACAGCCTGCACCCAGGCTTCAGGTTCCAAGGACGGTGGGGTGAACTGCAGCGCCATGGGCTGCATGCTGGCAGCTCTGATTCCTGGCTGCTGTGCTGGCCGGACACTCTGGGGACAGAAGGATGAGTGTGAGGAGGATCAGGGAGGGAGTACAAGTGATGCTCAGGCCCCATAGAACCTTCCAGTGGGTGGTCAGTGGCCTCTGTGGAGCAGAGCCGACCTGTCTGCTCTGTCACCTCGAGGGTATGGCGTCCTTCCCCAGCTCTTGGTCTCAAGAAAGGGCATCTCAGGCCAACCTGTTACGTCTACGCCAAGTTAAAAATCAAACCCACACACCCCTAGGCCCTGAGGGAGGGCCCCTGCCTTCCTGACCATGTCTCCTCGCTGTGGCTGAGTCTGCCTTTTCGTTACTGTCCAGGGGCTTTGCACTAAATGTTCCCTTCCCTGCTCCCTTGGGTAGGGGTCTGGGTGAGTAGCCCCTAACAACCCTGGCCACACCCTGCCCGGAGGGCTTGTCCCCATCCCTGCCCAGGGAGGTTCCGGGAACTCAGATGCCGCTCAGCTGGGACTTGGCCTTCCCCACACCCCCAGTCTTCAAAAGGACTCAACAGAATTCGTGGGAATCTCCTAGGTGTCTGTGGGCCAGCAAGGGCCATCAGTCCTAACCCATCCAGCAGCCCCTGCACATCCTGCTCTCATGGAGTGATTGTCATCGGAGGGTTTTTTTTTTTCCCTCTCATCTCTCATGTAATGATAGTAGAATCATTTTTCCCATCAGAAATTCCCAGTCCCGCCTTGGCGCAGTTAAGTGTCTGACTCTTGGTTTTGGCTCAGGTCGTCATCTCAGTCATGAAATCGAGCCCTGTGTTGGGCTCTGGGCTCAGCCTGGTGTCCACTTGAGTTTCTCCCATTCCCTCTGCCCGCTCCCCCCCCCTTTAAAAAATTTTTTTAAAGAAATTCCCAGTTGCGTCTAGACAGATTACTGCTTTAAGAAGACCCTTTGGTATAGGCTGAACGGAGGACACGCTCCTTATCAGCCGTGGAGCAGTGGGCAGAGCAGCCCAGGGTCCCCTGTGGCTCCACTGTGTGAAGCTCCGCATTAGTTGAGCTTGAACTTTGCAAACAACCTGCATTTGTTCTCCTCCTCAGGTACCCAGACTCATGGTATCGTGATATCACCTCCAACAAGAAATTCTTTTCCCTTGCCGCGACCTACAGGGGCGCCATCGTGGGAATGATAGTAGCTGAAATAAAAAGTAGGACCAAGATACATAAGGAAGTGAGTATGTGTGGCGAGGAGTTGGTGGTCTTGTCACTGCGCGGGCTTGTGACCCGAATCACTGCCTGCTCTGTGGCCCTTTCTCCTCGGAGCCCACACCAAGTAGGAGACTCCCGCCTGTTTGGTTCTTCCTGTGCGTATGTGATACACACGTTCGGCGAGAGACCTAGCCGCAGGCCTCATAACCACTGCCGTTTCACAGTAGGGAAGGGTGAAAAAAAATCCCAGAAAACAAAATAGAGAGGAGTGTAAATGATACTCTGAGAACCCCCAAAGTTGTCAGGGGCTCTGGGAAGATCGGTGGTTTGTAGAAACAGCTAATTGTGCTGTGATTGGCTGAAGGACATGCTAGTTCTGGTTAGAGGCTCGTGAGGATAGAGGAATATGTCATTTCTTCTTCGGCTTCACAGAGCTCTCCAAGGTCTCTGTAAGGACTCCTGAGGTCTGCGGGGCCCCCATCAGCAAGCTCTGCCCTGAGTGTAGAGCTCGAGGCCACAGCCACAAACATGTTGCATGTGGTCGTCCTGGGCCAAGATGCTGCCTAATTATTTTGGTCTTCGAGACTGAGCAGCGTCGACCACGTGGGTGTTTACTCCAAGGACAGGGAAAAATGCACGACAGCTGGTTCTGTCTTTTGAGCTTCAGATTATTTCTTTAAAAGTACAAGGATGTCTGCCTTTGAAAGACCCAACCTGCTCACGTATACCCCATTTTGCTCGTGACTGGATTCGGGCAAAGGTAGTTCTTTTAAGTCCCAGCTTCCTCCTGAGCTTTTTTCTTCTCCTTCGTTTCACACGGTGGTCAGATTCGCCGTCAGGCCAGAATTCCATCTCCGGAACCAGGATGCAGTGGTGGGGTAGTGTGCTGGGGTGCTGCTCTGCCCACTGTGGGCAGCACAGGGCATGGAGGGGCCGCTCGAGCCCCCACTCCCTTTACTCAGAGACCATGTAGGGGGGCAGCGTAGGGTCCTGGAGGCAAACCTTTTCAAACTTTGTCTTGTCCTGAGTGCCCAGGACGTGCCCATGTGGCACAGTCACCTCCCCATTACCGCTGTACTCTTGCCCCTTGTCAGGTCCACAACACATCCTCAGGAGGAGGGACGGTCTGTGTGTGTCCTTAGTTTAACCATGTGCTGCAAGGACCTGCACCCTCTCGTTTCTGTGTGTGTGTGTGTGTGGGGGGGGAATGACTCTTATACTCTGCCCCTCCAGTCCCCGCCCCCCCCGCCCCCCTGCAGAGGTCAAGGCCGGGGAATCGGCGTGTGAGATGTGCCTCGGCCATTAACTGGTCTTTATATCTGACTTTTCCCTCAGGACGGGGATATTCTAGCCTCCACCTTCTCTGTTGACACACAGGTTGCATACATTCTAAGTCTGGGAGTAGTGAAGGAGTTCAGGAAGCACGGCATAGGTAAGGGGCGCGAGCTCGCGGTGTGTGGCACGTGTGCTCCAGCCACCATATCCGGTCCTTTCGCACGTGCTGGTGACTTGCCCATAATGTCCTTCATCCCCCTGCCCTGGGCGGACATTCCTTGCCCGCCCCTGCCGGCAGGTCCACCTGCCCCACCTCCGCTCCGCTGGCCTTCAGCCTGTGCTCTTTGCACCTATCACCAGGTCTCTGGGCAATGGCCTCGTTCTCAGATCTGATTCGATCAGATGCGTAATGCGCCCAGATGTCCTCGTCAGGGAACGGGCACCTCTTACCACACCGGCCGCCACACACGTGGCTTATGTCTGGTCACAAGGTGTTCTTGATTAAGAGTAGAAAACATAATTAAAAAGCAGTCCCAGCTGCCATTTATTGGATGCCCTCATGCACAGGGAATGTCCCCCAGGCCCGTCTCCAAATTCCCCCCTCTGCCACACAGGCAGCGGGCAGCAGCCTTCCTGTGTGACCCAGGCCTGTCTGCCCTACCTTCTCCTGGGCTCCTATTTGCACTTTCTGTTGTCTGAAAGGTTAGTGAGTCTCCACCACAGGCCTAGCCCCTGTGAGGGAGCTACCTGGCCCCCATCTATGGTTCCAGACACCCGGTGGTCTGTAGCTGATGACCTCCATCTGGCCGCGGGATTTTAGGGGCTTTGACAGGGTGGTTATAGGAGTTCCATCTTTGATACAATGGCAGGGAGATCTGTGGAGATGTTGGCAAGGTTACCTCCTTGTCTGCTTCACGTACCTTGCCTGCCTGCCTGCCCTGCTGTGTGACTGTCACCCCTTCTCTGCAGGTTCCCTTTTACTTGAGAGTTTAAAGGATCACATATCAACCACCGCCCAGGACCACTGCAAAGCCATCTACCTGCATGTCCTCACCACCAACAACACAGCAATAAACTTCTACGAAAACAGAGACTTTAAGCAACATCACTATCTCCCCTATTACTACTCCATCCGAGGGGTCCTCAAAGATGGCTTCACCTATGTCCTCTACATCAACGGCGGCCACCCTCCCTGGACAATCCTATATCCTTTACTTCTCAAGGGTGAGGGATGTGGCTTCCCAGCCACAAGGGTGGCTCGTGGGGACAGGGCCCATGTGCCAGAGTCACGTTGCCTTCACGTGATTCACAAGGCCAAGCTCACGGGGCCCGTTTTTCCTGAGCAGATGGTGTTGTGGGTAGATCTGGTTGTACTCAGTGTTCCTCAGACTTCACCCGGCACAAGATAGAGGTTTTAACCCTCTTGGCCAATGATCCACCCATCCAACAAATACTGATCGAGAGCCTCCCATTCCTGGTGCCCAGAACAGATAACTGAACTGGTCAGACAGGAGGCCCCTGCCATCCAAGGGCCTCATGCTGGCTGCGCAGAAGACACACAAGCAGGGCGAAAACAGTCGCTGGCTATTGGCAGCGCCTGGGTCCAGACCTCCCTTTCTTAAGGCATGTGACCCAGAGCTGAGTCCCTCCCCTGCTCCCTCATCTTTAACCCTCTCTGGTCCAAGAGCAGAAGGAGGGAGGCCAGGAGACAGGAGACATCCTGATAGAGGCTGTGGCCCCAGATACCCTGAGGGCAACCGAGCAAGGAGTGAACTAAGTGAGGATAGAATTTACCCATGTATCCAAGGTTGGCCCCGTGGATCCTCCTCCTTGTCACAGGGATGAGGCCCTGCTGTCTAATGACTGAGGATTGGAGTGGACTGAGAATGCTTGCTCTTCCACCAGGCCTGTCGCCCGCCACCCAGTCCCTGTCCAGCAGCTTTGGTCTGGGTGTCCATGTGCCTGCAGCCTCTCCCAGCAGGTCCTCTTGTATTCGGATGCCACTCTGTTATTTTACACAGTGGAGGCCCCTCTGGCTGACAAGGCTTTCCAGCACCCCACAGAGGCTTAGCAGGCTCTGGGTCTCCGTCTGCATGCAGTCCTGCAGATCACCACGTGGGCCCCTGCTGACGGCCACCCAGAGTGTGGGGCAGGTGAGGCAGTTGGAATCTTCCTTAACAGAGCCCCACGGACTACATTCAGCACCTGGGCTCCGCACTAGCAAACCTGAGCCCTTGCTCCATCCCGCATAGGATCTACCGCCAGGCCCACAGCCTGCTCTGCAGCTTCCTGCCGTGGTCCAGCATCTCCACCAAGGGTGGCATCGAGTACAGCCGGACCATGTGATGCCCGCTGGGCAGCCTCCATCAGGCCCCACCCTTCGGCACCCTGCAGAACCCACCTTCCTGGCCATCTGGCTTCTGTCCTCTGCAAAGGAGCTGGTAGCCCCTTGCCGGGCCCATCGGCCTGCCCCAGCTGCAGGCCCGGTGCTAGGCGGGCTCGGAGCAGAGCGTCGTGGGGCACACCTGGTATCTGCCAGGTACACTGGAGCAGGTGGTGGGGAAGAGGGGAGCAGAGCCCAGTGGGATGATGGTACCAGGAAATTAAGCCCATGACACACCCAGCAATAAAAACAGAAGGGCGGCCTGCATGGGGGCTTGCTGCACAGGGATGTCAGGAAGTAGTACCAGGAGCTGAGTAGCCTGACTGACGTCCAGAAACTGCCGGAAGGAAAGCAGAGTCTTTGAGCCCTTGGCCAGCACTTCTGTCTTTTCACTTCCTGAACTACATTTTTTTTTTTAATACTGAATTACATTTTTAAAAAGAATGCATCCACATGGTTCAAAAATTGAGAAGGAACCAGAAGATGAAGCCGCTCCTACCGCCACACCCAACCACTCAGCCCCCCTCCTGAGGGGTGTCTGATGCTTCTGTGTCATGGCCATGTTCCCAGGTCCCCTCTTAGAGCAGCGGCTTGCAGCGGGTGCCCGGTAGACCAGAGCTCCGCTCAGATGCAGCCACTTCTGAGGGCCACAAATGCCAGCAGGGAGCTGGCCTCAGACCTTAGGGCCTGAAGGGGTCATGGGGACTGCAAGGCCTTCCCCCTGTGCACGGACACAGCCCAGAGCAGTTTGGTGGTTGGGGCTGACTCATGCAGCGTGCTCCACGACCCCCTGGGCTGGAAGCCCCATCTGCGCCTTGATTTGTGTGGGAACTGGGAGGGACTCAGGCCACGGAGGGCTTGTGCTTCGGGGCAGCCAGGGCCCCTTATGGGCTAGCGCAGGACATCTCCCCGGGGCCTTCACCCCTGCTCCCCTCTTCTTTCCCACAGGCTCTTCCAGCCCTCCTTCCTTTACTGGTAACCTCGGGAAACCACCGCCTCTGCCTGCGCCCTGGTCCCGCCTCCACGAGCGTGCACCAGCCCCACTGGCCAGCTGGGGTGTGGCGGCCTTCACTGTGGTCTGTTTCCTCCTCCATCCCCTTCCCCTCCACTGCCATTCCTTCCAGCTCCTTCCTTCAAAGCCAGAGTGAACTTCTGCTGGAAGGAAGGAACCCAACTGTTATGGACAGACCTGAGCCTAAAGACAGAGGAGCCTTGGAACAACGAGGGAGTGAAATCAAGGGAATGCCAGATCTTTGTCCAAAACCAGCCCACAGAAGCCTCGGATGTGGGGAACAGCCCCTGCCTCTCCATGAGGGGCTGGCTCCTGGCGGGCAGAACCAGAAGGCTTTTCACCCAAGCACAGGGCTCTGGGGCTTAGACTCTGATGCAGGAGGTCAGATCATGGAACAGTTCTCCACCCCGCGGTGGCCTCCTGCCCAGGGCTTCACATGGTCCCGGCGAGCATGGAACTGTCCATCACATGGTGGATGTTGGCTTGGCTGGGCTGTCCCCGGGAGCTGGGCTGAGGATAGGTGCCAGTGAGGTTCCCCCGGGGCCCCTCCCAACCCCCCCAAATCCATGAGCTGAAGCTCTAAGATGCGGACAGGAGAAAGCTGAGAGTGGTGTCGATAGTGGGGCCTGGCCTTCGGGGCTGGGGCTGTTACGTGCCTTGCGGCCCCTCAGTCCCTGGGGGCCGAGACAGAAGAGGCTGTCAGTGCCAGGAAGTGTGCGTGTGAACATCACTTGCTTCTGGCATCACCCTCACCTCCATCCCCCAAAGCTGCTTGCTGCCCGCCCTGCCCTCCAGAGTAGAGGGGGTGGCAGAGTCACGCCCAGTGTTGCTGCAGTGTCCTGGAGCCATGGCCACCAGGCGCCAGCCTGAGAGCAGGAGGAGAAGGGAGAGCAACAGGCAGGGGGCCTGGGTGACTGTCATGCTCCCCTCCCTCAGAACTGCACAGCCTGGGGCCGCCTCCACCCTCAAAGTGGGAGAACAGTGTTCTCGAGATGAGGACGAGGGCGAGCCCTGGTCAAGAGAAGCACTCTTCCTCCTTCGACCTCCTGACTGGCAGTGCCTCTTGGGGAGAGGTCCATGTTGCGGTGACCTGTCCCCACCTCTGCACTGACCTTGGCTTCATGCTGAGACTCAGCTTGGTGTTCTAATCTGAATCAGTGGTGATTGTGTGATTTTTATTTCTGCCCCGAGGGGTAAGGAAGAGTCTTCTGGAAGGTTTTGCCTTGGACATTATTCATAATCAGAGGCCTCACCCTGCCCCTCCATCCCTGCCCCCAATCACTGCAGTGTCCAGCCCATTGTTGAATAGATTGTAGTGTTTTGTCTCATTACAAATAAACAGCCTTTAATTGGTCACATCTTGTCTTTCCAATGCTTGCCCATTGCCCTCTGGGCCCCACCCCTATAGACGCAGCCCCCATGGCTGAGGGCAGCTCAGGAACTGCTTGTCCACTGCCAAGTTCCAAGGATGGCTTCCAGCTGAAAGGGCTGATTGTTTTGTCTTGTTTTGCCAAAGAATGCAGCCGTGGGGAAGAGATTCTAGAGCCGACCAGCACAACCAGGTTCTGAGATCAGCAGGTCCTTAGCAGCCGCCTGATGTTTGGGGGGGCCCTGGCAGCTCTTGGCTTTAGCTAGGGCCTGGTCCAGTCAGGAGGCTCTGTCCTGGCTCAGAGAAGGTTCCACAGGTGACTCAACACAGTTGTCCGATGGGGACTCTGAGCCAGTGGACCCCATCACAGGAGCCTGGGGAGACCCTTGGGCCAAGACACTCCACCTTAGGAGCCTGAGACAGGGCACCATTGTGTTCCAGCTCCTGGGTTCCACCAACCTCTCTTTGGAGCTTCTGGCCACTCTGGGGGAAGGGAGTCAAGTTTGTCACTCCATTGGACAGATGAGGAAAACTGGTTCAGGGACTGAATTACCCCATGGCTGCTCAGCACGTGAACGGTCACCAGAGAGCCCAAACCAGGTCTGAAATGAACTCCAGAGCCCGTGTGTGTTGCTCCCCAAGGGTCAGGCTTCATCCAGACAGGCCTCGGGGACAGGGCCTGAGGTACCTGCAGAGCTGGGTGTGTGGGAGCCCCTGGGGTTGGGATGGGGGTTGATACTCCCACAGTGAGTGTCGAGCAGGGTCCCAGGTGCTGGCAAGTCCCACTTGGGTTATTTACACTGGCTGCTGGGGCAGCTTCAGGAGGAAGTAGGTGACTCCCTGGGGCCCTTGCTCAATTGTGTGGCCAATTATCAGTTTGCCCCCTGGGACGTTGGGGCTTCTGGTTGGGCCTTGCCCTGAACGCCACTCTGCTTTCCTGGGTCGGCCTCCCCTCAGCGGGCTCCAAGGACACAGCATCCCAAGGGCTGAAACAGACTCCTGGAGGCCTGGTGCAGTCCCCTCCAGCTGTTCAGAGGGTAGGTGGGGGTACCCCAGGGGTCAGTGCACACCTCCATGAGTGTCTCCTTCCCATCAGTCCCCAGGACACTAGAACTGTGGCTTTGCTCTCAGCCTCTTCTGAGTGTTTTTCAAGAAAGTCCTGGGAGGTTGAGGGGAGAACTGTTCAGAGGTCAGCCTAGCAGGTGTTCTTTGGGTCTAACTTGTCCGCTGCAGCAAATGTCTCTCCCAGGGAAGAGCTGGGGGTGCGGATCATCTGCCCTCCGTGACATCAAGTGAGGTGGCTCCACGGGGGCTAAGGGATCTGCTCCAAGAGGGCCCAGAGCTTGGCTGCGGCTGTGGCTCCGGTTCCCTCCACATGGCCTCCCCTGGGCTGACTTGGTTTCCCATCATGTGCAGGGCTCCTTTCAATGGATTGGCCCCCCTCAGCACACACACCCTGGAAACTGCCAGGCCTCCTTCAGGCCAGAGGTGACACCGTGTCACTTCTGCCACGTTCTGTAGGTCAAGCAAGGCCCTGAGCCGGTCCCAGTTCAAGGTTGGGGTCCTACACGAGCCAGAATACCAGGCCCCACGCATTGGAGGCCGCCGCAGCCATTGACAGCAGCCTAGGAATCCCGAGACCTGGACTCGAGCAGTCTGTGCTCCCCCGTGAGCCTCACGGCTTCACCCAAAAGTGAGGGGATTGGCCCTCAATCTACAGGGACTGCGTAGTGTGGCTTCTGGCAAGGTCCGTCTTCTGCCCAGTGCCCAGGACAGCCTCCCTAACGTCTGTCCTCATCCCGGCCTTGGCCTTCTGGGCCAGTAGTAGGAGAAGACACCCTTTTTGTCACCCCCCAGTGGCTCATCTGGGGGACTTGCTGGGCGGCTATGTCCCTGCCCAGGTCCCAGCTGGAGCACTCAGCCACCTCTCGTCAGTCCTCCTCGGGCTGCTCTCTGGCTGCTCCAACTCAGGCTCCCACCACCCAAGGCCACACCCACACTTGTAAGGACATGAAAACCACACAGGAACCAAAGTTTCCAGAATCTGCTGTCCCAGGGACCTATAAAGTGTCCAAGGGTGGGACCAGGGTATGAGGGCAGGGAGGGGGCTGGAGGGATTATTCCCCTATATCTGAAAGGACCCCGGGAGTCCAGAGTGCCCTTGACATCATCACATTTGATCTGCCAGGAGCCCTTGGTGGAGCCAGCTCAGCCCCAGCCTGACCTGGGCTGCCGGGACTGGGAGTTGGCCACACCGGTGGGGCGGGGGGCGGGGGGGATCAAGACAAACCCAGGTTGTCCCATTCTGTCCCCACTGGACTGAGATCTAGTGATGTAGAGCAGAGGGTTTCAACCACAGTGATTCTGCACACACACACACACACACACACACAGAGGACATTGGACGCTGTCTGTAGACACTTCGTTGTCTCACTGGAAGGAGAATGCTATGGGAATCCAGTGAGTGGAGGCCAGAGATGCTGGTAGACATCCTAAGATGCACAGAATGGCAGCCACAACAAAGGAATATCCAGGCCCAGATGTCAACAGAGCCGAGGTTGAGACACCATGGGACAGAGGACTCCAAGCTGACTGTGCCTGGAGTCCAGCCCAGCTAGGAGAAGGACTGTGCCCATCCTGCCTGGAGGGACAGGGCAGCCAGGGAGCAGTGAACTCAATCAAGGCCTGAGTGAGCATGGGCATGGGGTTCAAGCCAGCATTTCTGCCCAGGTTGAGAGCCTGCTCTCTTCCCTGGCACTTTCCCTACACCTGGCCTGCTTTGTTTGTCCTCTGCTGCCTTGGCCAGAATGCCATGCCTTGCTTACTAGGTCTGTTGAGACCTTGTCCATCCAGGAAGGCTTCCAGAGTCCTACCAGAGGGAGGATGTTCACTCCTCAACCGACACTGGGAGCACCTTGGATCCTCCCTTGGCATCAACCTGGAACTTTGCTCTCAACGCAGGTGGCAGGTACTCTGAGAGGCCCCTCCTCTGCATTGACCTCATCACAGAGAGACCCAGGGACAAGAAGGTACAGGCCTTGGCTTTTATTGGAATCGGACCTGTGGGCTCCCCGGCCTCTTGGAGCCCAAATCTCCGCTCAGTCTGGCCTCCCAGGTACAAGTGGCTGACCTGAGTTGGAGCAGGCTGCAAGGGCTTCTATTTCTTCTCTTCTACCCATGGGACCTATCCCTTCCTCCCCCCCTTGAGCCTTCCTGAGGCTGGCCCAGTCTCTGGTGCTGGGCAGCTGCTGGGGTGTCTCAGTGTGGGGCGACTGCTGGTAGGGGCTGAGCCCTTCCTGTCTGGACCTGCCTCCTCCTCCTGAGCCATCCTTTTCCCTCCTGTCCCCATGGGGACAGCCAGCCCTTGGCACTCATATCCTTATGGTCTCTCCAGAGCCCCAGAGCGGGTTCTTTTACACAAAGGACATGTAGACTCCTCTGAAGCACCCCAGGACCTCTTGAGCCTGAGCCCCAAGCCTTCAGAGGGACTGGGCTGGAAGGGGGCACCCTTGGTTGGGTCCACACTGGAACTGGAAGCTAAGGAAAGTAGGGAAAGACAATCACTCAGAGGAACCCAAGTGGAGGCTGCCAGCCCATCCTATGACACCCCCCCCCAAACCAGAGCCTGTCATTCTTCAGAATAGGAAGGGAGGGGCAGTTCTCTTGAAAGAGAGCCCATGAGGGAGGAGGAAGAAGGAAACATGGTTCAAGCCAGAAGGACTTTTCTGTGATTTGACCTTCTCATTTTATAAATGGGCACAGTGGAACTAGGGAGGGTAGGGGTGATGGTGGGGAGCTGTCCAAGGTCCCTCACTGAGTGCAGACCTGGGACAGGAACCCAGGAACTTTGGGAAGGAAAAGGACCCCATTCTTGGTCCAGCTGAGTCCCCAGCCAACTCTTCCCTGGGTCTTTCCCTCCTGTCCCCAGCCCTGCCTCACCTGGACAGGACAGGTGCTCACCTGTATTTCCCAGGCTGTCCCTGGGTTTTGGAGCTTCCAGTAGGGCCAAGCGGTGGCTGTTACCTGGGCTCAGAGTCCCCTGTGGCAGGTCTAGGGGCCAGGCCATGACCTCAGGACGTGAGAGGCAGCCCTTAGCCATGAGCCGGCCCAGCCAGTGGCTCTCACACTGGCCGGCAGGTTGCATGTGGCCTGGCAGGTAGAGAGCCAGGCCCCGGAGGTGGCGCAGTCGGAAGTTCTTAGGCTTTCTTCCCTGGGAACTGGGACACTGCTGCTGCTGGGCCCCCAGTCCCCCTTCATAGATGTTGGGTGGTATGTCGGGGTGGCTGGGATGTCCTAGGGCCCAGCTCACTGCATCTGCAGAGGGGAGAGCAGGAGGGTGGTGGCTGGCAGACTGTAGCAGCCAAGAGAAGAGAGGAGAATACAATCATGTGCTCTAGGGGATCCCTAGGTGGCTCAGCGGTTTAGTGCCTGCCTTTGGCCCAGGACATGATCCTGGAGTCTTGGGATCAAGTCCCACATCAGGCTCCCTGCATGGAACCTGCTTCTCCCTCTGTCTGTCTCTCTGCCTCTCTCTCTCTCTCATGAATAAATAAATAAAATCTTAAAAAAAAAAACACTTAAAAAAAAAATCATGTGCTCTAAGACCAGCTCATTTGATGGGCTCCACTGTGGCTTGCTGAGCACCGGCCTATCTTTCCATCAAATGGTCTCAGTCTCCTGCCTCCCACCAAGCCCCACCCAACATATTACTCCTCTTCCCTTTCCCAATCACAGTGGCTTCTCACTTTCCCAATCAACAGGAAGGTGTGAGAAGTCTGAGAGCATGATGCAAAGATCTCTCAGGATTTCAAGCCCTTTCTACCACCCCTTTTTGCCCCCTATCCTAGAAAGAGCATTCCAGTGTCAGTATAGAAATTGCACAGTGGGTCCAGGATCACATAGTCTAGGGTCACACAGCCTAGACCACTAGTGGCCATTCCCCTCTCCCAAGGATGCATGTCCCTGAGGCCACTCTGGTGGCTTTGGGCCCAGGTCAGGACAGGAGGGCAACTCTCCTCCTGCCACTCCTCCCTGCAGCCTGGCACCTTCTCTTATGCGCAGCTCAGAGAACGCACAGACCAAGGCTTCCATGGAGGGCCAGAATGGTGGGGGAGGAGCAGCTGGGCCTCCTGTGCAGCAGGGCTCTGTTCTCCCCAGCCTGGATCTGCAGGGCTCCCATGGCAACCAGCTCTGTGATGTCAAACGGAAGACTCTCAGTCTTCCTGGACCTTCAAGTTTGGGAGAGAATGAAGCCCAGGGATGGGGCAGAGTGGGGCAAGGCCAAAAGAAGGAAATGGAACTCTAGAGGAGGTCCTTGATCCTCTGGGTTAGGACAGGCCACACAAAACAGCTCTTGCAGGCTGCAAAGTCACTCCCTGGGTGACCTCTGGGGGTCTCAGTTTGCTCATCCACGGGTGGGAAATGAGGCCCCAGGGGCACAGACTTGGTCAGGTCTGAGCCAGCGCTTTGAGCCTGCTGAGAAGGTGGTTCTGAGTGGCTGAGCAAGTCACTTAATTTTCCTAATTGTGCATTGTCCTATAAGTAGATGATGGGTATCATGTGGGTCATATGAGTGGAAGAACTGGAGCTCTCATTTACTGCTGGGGAGGAATGTAAAGTGGTACCACTGGTTTTTGTTTTTTTTTTTTAAAGAGACCATGGATCTCTTTTTTTTTTTAATTTTTAATTTATTTATGATAGTCATACACACACACACACACACACACACACAGAGAGAGAGAGAGAGAGAGAGAGAGAGAGAGAGAGAGGCAGAGGGAGAAGCAAGCTCCATGCACCGGGAGCCCGACGTGGGATTCGATCCGGGTCTCCAGGATCACGCCCTGGGCCAAAGGCAGGCGCCAAACCGCTGCGCCACCCAGGGATCCCCTGGTACCACTGTTTTGGGAGACAGTTTCTTCGAAAATTAAACCACCTCTCATTCACAGATGATGTGCTCTCATACAGGCAAAACATTAATTCACATGTAAAAACAAAACATATTTGAGCTGACAAAACCAAAAGAGATAGTAAGGTTCAGCTCATTAGTTACAGGATACAAGATGAACACACAAAAATTTAATTTATGTACTAGCAAAGAACTAAAAGAATAAAACTAGAATAAATTTAACCAAGGAGGTACAAGACAACACTGAAAACTATGAAACTACAAGTTAAAAAAAGAAATTTAAAAATCCACTGCCCTGCAAAATATCCTTGTTCATGGATTGAAGGCTTAATTAACATTGTTTAGACAGCAACACTCCCCAAAATGATCTACAAATTCAATGTAATCCATATCAGAATCCCAATAGCTGTTTAGGCAGAAACAGGAAAGCTGATCTTAAAATTCACATGGAATTACAAGCCAAATAACCAAAAGCAATTTTAAAAAAGAAAAAGTTTGAAGATTCTTTTTCTCTGATTGCAAAACTTACTATAATGTTACAGTAACAAAAACAGTGTGGAACTGGCATAAGGCTAGATATCTCAACTAATGTAGTAGAAAAGAGAGTCCAGAAATAAAGTCATGCATCTATGGTCAATTGATTTTCAACAAGGCTACCAAGACCATTCAATGGGGTAAAAAGAATCTCTTCAGGGCAGCCCGGGTGGCTCAGCGGTTTAGCGCCGCCTGCAGCCCAGGGCGTGATCATCCTGGAGACCTGGGATCTAGTCCCACGTCGGGCTCCCTGCATGGAGCCTGCTTCTCCCTCTGCCTGTGTCTCTGCCTCTCTCTCTGTGTGTCTCTATGAATAAATAAATAAGTAATCTTTAAAAAAAAAAAAGAATCTCTTCAACAAGTAGTGCTGGGACAACTGGATAGCCACATACAAAAGAATGAAGTTGGATGGACCCCTACTTCACACCATATACAAACATTAACTCAAAATACAACAAAGACCTAAATGTAGGAGCTAAAACTATAAAACTACTTAAAAGGAAATGTGGGGGTAAATCATCATGACTTTGGATTTGGCAGTGGTTCCTTAGATATGAAACAGAAGCATAAACAACAAAAGGAAGAATAGATCAATTGGACCTCGTCAAAATGGAAAACTTCTGTGCTATGAAAGATACTATCAAGAAGTGAAAGGACAGCCTACAGAATGGGATAAAATATTTGTAAATTATATATCTGATAAGTACAGTGTCCAGAATATATAAAGGATACCTGTAAACTCAACAAAAAGGTGACCCAATTTAAAAACAAATGAAAAACTTGAATAGACATTTCACAAAAGGAGATATGCAAATAGTTAACAAGCATATGAAAAGATAGGGATCCCTGGGTGGTGCAGCGGTTTGGCGCCTGCCTTTGGCCCAGGGCACGATCCTGGAGACCCGGGATCGAATCCCACGTTGGGCTCCCGGTGCATGGAGCCTGCTTCTCCCTCTGCCTATGTTTCTGCCTCTCTCTCTCTCTCTCTCTCTCTATCATAGATAAATAAAAATTAAAAAAATTTTAAAAAAAGATGTTCAACATCATTAGTCATTAGGAAAATACAAATTTGTTTTATTTAAAGATTTATTTATTTATGTATTCATGAGAGAGAGAGAGAGAGAGAAAGGCAGAGACACAGGCAGAGGGAGAAGCAGGCTCCATGCAGGGAGCCTGATGTGGGACTCAATCCCGGGTCCCCAGGATCAGGCCCTGGGCTGAAGGCAGCGCTAAACCACTGAGCCACCCGGGCTGCCCGGGAAATACAAATTTAAAAACAGTGAGATAATACTTCACACCCACAAGGATGGCTATTTTAAAAAGCAGGGAGGAAATGATAAATATCAATGTGGGAGAAACTGGAACTCTTGGACTTTACTGGTGGGGATGTAAAATGGTGCAGTCACTGTGGAAAACAGTCTGGCTTTTCCTCAACTAGTTAAACACAGAATTACCATAAGACACAGTAATTTCACTATATATACGTATATACCAAAAAAAATGAGAACAGATATTTAAACAAATACTTCTACACAAATATTAATAGTAGTTTTATTCATAGTAGCCAAAAAATAGAAGCAACCTAAATACTCATAAAATAATGACTGGGTAGGGGCACCTACCTGGGTGGCTCAGTGGTTGAGATCTGCCTTTGGCTCAGGGTGTGATCCTGGGGTCCTGGGATTGAGTTCCGCATTGGGCTTCCCTTGGGGAGCCTGCTTCTTTGCCTATGTGTCTACCTCTCTCTGTGTCTCTCATGAATAAATAAATAAAATCTTTAAAAAAATAATGATTGGATAAACAGTTTATGGTATGTCTATGCAAGGAAATATTATTCAGCCATAAAAGTCACTGAGACATGATGCAACATGGATGAATCTCAGAAATATGAAGCTCAGGGATCCCTGGGTGGCGCAGCGGTTTGGCGCCTGCCTTTGGCCCAGGGCGCGATCCTGGAGACCCAGGATCGAATCCCACGTCGGGCTCCCAGTGCATGGAGCCTGCTTCTCCCTCTGCCTGTGTCTCTGCCTCTCTCTCTCTCTCTGTGACTATCATAAATAAATAAAAATTTAAAAAAAAAAAAGAAATATGAAGCTCAGTGAAAGAAGCCAGATGTAAAAGATCCCATATTCTATTATTCCATTTATATGGAATGTCCAAAATATGTAAATCCATAGAAACAGCCAGATTAGTGATTACCAGGGAGTGGGCAGGAAGAAATGGGGAGTGACTGCTTACTTGGTGTGAGCTTTCCCTTTGGGGTGAAGGAAATGTTTTGGAACAAAATAGAAGTGATGAGTGAAGAACATTGTGAATGAACTTAATGCTACTAAATTGTACACTTAAAAGGGTAAATTTTATGTATATTTTACCACAATAAAAATAAGTAACTGACCAGCACTACTCTGAAAACTGTCTAGGTCATAAAAAAGAAAAGGAAAAAAAAAAAAAAAAGGAAAGCTTGAGAAACTGTCACAGTCCAGAGGAATCTAAGGAGACATGACAAGACATTAAATGGAACATGGGGGCAGCCCCGGTGGTCCAGCAGTTTAGCACCACCTTCGGCCCAGGGTGTGATCCTGGAGACCCGGGATCGAGTTCCACATCGGGCTCCCTGCATGGAGCCTGCTTCTCCCTCTGCCTGTGTCTCTGCCCCTCTCTCTCTCTCTGTCTGTTATAAATAAATAAAATCTTTAAAAAAATAAATGGAACATGGTGTCGCGAAAAGTATCATGGAACAGAAAAAGGATGTTAAGTAAACAGTAAATCTGGACTTTAGTTAATAATAATGTATCAATATTAGCTCATTAATGGGCGCCTGGGTGGCTCAGTCACTTAACAAGCTGCCTTTGGGTCAGGTCATGATCCCAGGGTCCTGGGATCGAGTCCTGCATCGGGGCTCTCTCTCCTTTTGCCCCTCCCTCCTGCTCACGTGCTCTCTCTTTCTCAAATAAATAAAAGCTTTTAAAAAATATTGGCTCAGGGCAGCCCGGGTGGCTCATCGGCTTGGCACTGCCTTTGGCCCAGGGCATGATCCTGGAGACCCGGGATCGAGTCCCACATCAGGCTCCCTGCATGGAGCCTGCTTCTCCCTCTGCCTGTGTCTGCCTCTCTCTCTGTATCTCTCATGAATAAATAAATAAAATCTTAAAAAAAATAGATTGGCTTATTGGCTCTGACAAATGTATCATACAAATGTAAGACGTTAACAGAGTTAAAGGGGGGGTGATAAGGAATAGATGGAGTACACAGGAACTCTGTAGTATCTTTGCAGCTACTTTGTAAATCTAAAATTGTAAGTGCATTGAAAAGGGGCACCCAGGTGGCTCAGTGATTGAGCGTCTGCCTTTGACTCAGGGCATGATCCCGGGGTCCTGGGATCGAGTCCTGCATCAGGCTCCCCAGGGGGAAACTGCTTCTGCCTCTGTGTCTCTGTCTCTTTCTCTGTGTCTCTTATGGATAAATAAATAAAATCTTAAAAAAAGAAGTGTATTGAAAAGAAAAGTTAAACATTCACTCGCCTTATGACTCTGACACAAAACATGTTTATATAAGATTTCTACATGAACACTCACCCCAGCTTTATTTGTACTAGCCCCCAGATGGGAAATGTCCATTAACAGGTGGTGAGCAAATAAAGTGTGGTATGCCCACATAATAGATACACTGCTCAACAGTAAAAAGTTGACAAATTACTGATATGTGCTGCAACACAGATGAATCTCAAAATAATTATACTGAGTGAAAGAAGCCAGACAAAAAAGAGCATATATTGCATGATTCCATTTTTATAAAACTCTTAAAATAAGCAAATGTACAATGAGAGAAAGAGCAATGTCCCCTTGGAGTAGGAGGAAGGGTAGGAGGGAGATATTACAAAGGAGTGGGGCACAAAAAAACAGGGGTGACAGATTTGTTTCTGTCTTGATTGCACTTTCTTGCATGTATATACTTATTAAAACACATTAAATTGCACACTTTAAATATGTGCCTTTTTCATATGTCAATAAAGCTGTTAAATAATTACGATCCGGGGTGCCCATCTGGCTCAGTTGGAAGAGCATGCAGCTCTTGATCTCAGGGTCATGAGTTCCAGCACCACGTTGGGTGTAGAGATTACATAAATAAATTAATAAACTTAAAAAAATTAAAAACCAAGGGAGGAGGCTCTGGCTCCTTCTCATTGCTTTGTTTGTGCTCTGCCGACTATAGCAGATGCTGAGTACAGCACAGGGTCAGTAGACTGCTACCCTGTAGGGACAGAGCTGAGACTTTGGCCCAGCTTGGAGCAGAACTGGTGGGCTTTCCAGTGGCCTGTTGTGAACACACAAGTCTGGAGCTAACCAGCACCTGGGCCACAGCCCGAACTGGACATCCTAGCCAGCACAGAGCATGGGGGGAGGCTGGGAGGACAGGGTACAGACTGTATGGCCTTCCCTCAAAGACCTTTCACCAAAGTGAGGTGACTCACTCATTCATTCAGCCAGCCAGTCTGCCAGGTGTTAAACAGATGTGTTCTGAGGACCTAGAGAGTGCCGAATACTGTTCCAGAGCTGCGAGGGCCCAGAGTAGGACAAAATAGGCATCTGGTTTCATGGAGCCTACACGTTCAGACTAGAGACACAGAAGACATACAAACGAGCTGTTCCCAGATCACGCTGTGAGGAATGTAAAGCAGGGTAATGTGACAGGGAAGACATGGAAAGCGCCCGCTTTGGTGTTGGTCGTCCAGAGGTCTTGTCACGAAGATCTGAAGAAGCTGGGAAGAGCACTCCAGGCCATGGGAACTGCGCGTGCAAAGGCCTGAGGCATGAAGATGGTGGGCATGTTTCTGGGAAAGCAGGCCAGAGCAGATGGAGGGAAGGGAGTAAGAGAAACAGAGGAGACACAGCTAAGGGTTTTGAGTTTTACTTGGACTGCAATGGAAAGCCATTAGATAGTTTTGCTTTTTTTTTTTAAGATTTTATTTATTCACGATAGACATAGAGAGAAAGAGAGAGAGGCAAAGACATAGGCAGAGGGAGAAGCAGGCTCCATGCCAGGAGCCCGACGCGGGACTTGATCCCGGGACTCCAGGATCACACCCTGGGCCAAAGGCAGGCGCCAAACCGCTGAGCCACCCAGGGATCCCCAATAGTTTTGCTTTTTAAAAAATTTTAAAAATTCTTTTGTCTTTAATCTTATTATTATTATTTTTTGGTTCTCATTTATAAATCCTGTGTTGGGGTGCCTGGGGGGCTCAATTGGTTAAGCATCTGCCTTCAGCTCAGATCATGATCCCTGGGATAGAGCCCTGCATCGAGCCCCACATCAAGCTCCTGGCTCAGTGGAGTGTCTGCTTCTCCATCTGCCCTTCCCCCCACTCATGCGTGCATGCGCTCTCTCTCTCAAATAAATAACTAAAATCTTAATAAAAAAAAAAAACCCTTGTGTCAGTAGTTTTGTTTTTTTAAGGCTTTTTTGTTGTTGTTGTTTTTAGTCCTGCTTATTGAGATGGTTTCAGATATGGTAAAATGGACTTTTTTTTAGTGCCTAGTTTGATACGTTTTGGCAAACACCTACTGTCATGTAGTCAGCACCATGATCAAGATACAGAACAGCCAAAAATTCTTTTGCACCTAACTCCTCCTGGCACCTACTGATTTGTTTTCTGTCTTTATATTTTCATCTTATCCAGACTGTCATCAACAGAATCATATCGTACATACCCTTTTGAGTCTGGCTTCTTCCACTTAGTGTAACACATTGAACTTTGACTGTTGTTCTCCTACATATCAGCAGTTTCTTTTTTTCCTCCTGAGGGGTAATCCATTATATGGATGTACCGCAATTTGCTTATTCATTCATAATTTTTTAAAAAAGATTTTATTGATTTATTCATGAGAGACACACACACTCAGACACACACAGAGGCAGAGACACAGGCAGAGGGAGAAGCAGGCTCCCTGCAAGGAGCCCAATGTGGGACTCGATCCTGATTTCCAGGATCATGCCCTGAACTGAAGGCAGACACTCAAAGGCTGAGCCACCCAGGCATCCCTGTATCTTTAATTTTATTAAAAAGTTACCAGTTTTCCAAAGTGGCTGCACTGTTTGGCATACCAAAAGTTCAAATTGCTCTACATCCTGTCAAACCCTTGGCACTGTTAGGGTTTTTGCTGGCGTTTTTTTTGTTGTCGTTGCTTTAACAATTCTAATGACTGCCTAGTGATACCTCATCGTCCTTACTTAATATGTATTTCCCTAATGACAAATAATCTTTTATTTGCTTATTACTTGCTACATATCTTCTATCGTGAAGTACCTTTTTATTTTTTTGGCCCACTTTCTAATGGGTTTTGAGAGTTTATGATTTATTCTGGATACAAGTCTTCCTATCACATGTGTTTTGTGATAGGAGTAGATGGTGGGGTACCTTTTCTTGTTTTTCTTTATTAAAGATTTTATTTATTCAGTTTATGAGAGACACAGAGAGAGGCAGAGGGAGAAGCAGGCTCCTGGCCAGGAGCCTGATGTCAGGACCTGGGTCTGCGTGATCCCTACTGTTTCTTTCTTTCTTTTAAGATTTTATTTATTTATTAGAGACAGAGAGAGAGAAAAGCAGAGACACAGGCAGGAGAAGCAGGCTCCATGCGGAGAGCCCGTCGTGGGATTCCATCCCAGGTCTCCAGGATTACGCCAAGCCACCGGGGCTGCCCACTTTTTTTTTTTTTTAATGTCTTTATGAGCAGTTTTACGTTTTGCAGAAAACCAATTAAAAAAAATTTTAAAGCATCATACTTGTGGTGTATTTAGGAAATCTTGGTTAACAAAGTCACAAAACGTTTCTCCGAAGCTTTCTTCTAAAAAGCTACAATTTTTTAACTCGTACATTTAGGAAGGGCCGGGGAGGTTCCTTTCTTTGCATATGGATTTCCAACTGTTCCCAAACCATTTGTTGCAAGACTATTCTTTCTCCGCTGAAGCGCGCTGCCACCTCGTCACACTCACCAGGGGCGTGTGGCTCTATTTCGGGGCTCTCCTTGAGGTCCCAGCCCGCGGGTGGTACCCTTGGCCACGGAAGTCCCAGGGGAGCCCCAGTGGAGCCCCCAGCGGAGCAGGATCCGGGGGCGCGCAGCTCCGCCCCCCGCCCACGCGCGCTCGACCACGCCCCGCCCCAAGAACCTCGGTTGACAAGACAATCACCGGGGAAACGAGGACTGATCTGATTTCCGGCCTGTCGTGAAGCCCCGAGCGAGCTGCTCATGCGCAGTCGCGGCGGGATGGCCTGTTGCCACCTTGCGGTCAATTTGGGTCTTCGCCCCTCCTGTCCCGGGCCTCTGGGCCTCGCCTCTTCATGCCTTTGCCGCTTCTCAGGGGCTTCGGTCATCCGCGAAGCCAAGTTTACCCAGGCCGGAGACAAACGTGCTGGGCAGAGGACCCAGGAGGATACCTGGCTTTGCTTACAGTATCATACATTCTGTTGTGCCCAAGATTACGTATCTGAGAAACCACCAAGGAGCCGACACCGATGCAAACACACGAGTATTTATTTACAAGCTCGAGCTTGGGTCTAAGTATACCCGACATAGCAGAGCGGGGACTTGGACCCCGAGGTGGGTTCCAGCTTAGTTTTATGGACTGGTCTAGGGGACCTCCAGAAGGGGTGGAGGAATTTCTCAAGTTCTGTTCACATTCTGATGTAGGGCTTTCAAGGGTATTGAGCTCAGTTCTTATTCTGATATGGGACTTTTTACCATGGGCGTTGAGCTCTGTTCTCATTCTAATATGGGGCTTTCTAGGGCGTTAAGCTGTGAGCTGTTTTTTCCTGTAACTGAAGCAAGGTAAATTTCAGCTCTTATTCACAGGAGCCTGAGATGGCTGTACTTGTGCTAAGGCTGAACTTAAGGCGGAAAGGCCTTAATTTTCTCGGCCTCCACACATTCTAGGGAATTGAGGAAGAAATGACAAGCAAGACGTAGAGTGCCTAGCAGGTGTCAGGGACATACATAGTTGGTGCTCAGAGTGTGTCCGCAAGTGCCAGACGTGCGTTTGGAAAAGTGTGTGAAGGGGACCCAGACGCCCCGCGGCCCGCAGCCCTTCCCTGCGGTCAGGATCCCTAGGCTTTGCACCGACACCCGCTGCCGGTTGTCCCTGCGCATGCGCACGCGGGGCGCCCGTGCAGCGTCGCCTCGCGTCCTGTTTGGCCCCGGCTGCGCGCCGTCCAGGGCCCCGCGCGTTGCCATAGAGACCCGGGAGCGCGGAGGGGCGAGCTTGCCCTGACGCCGGGCTGCAGGGATCCAGATCGCCATGTCTTTCCGCGACCTCCGCAGTAAGGCTGCCCTGCTCGTGTCTCCTGCGACTCCGCGGCCGAGTCTCCCCCCATCCCCCGCCGCCCCGCGCGTGGTTTCACTTACCCCCCTGAACCAGTGTGTGCTTTCCGCGCAGGGAGTTGGCAGTGGGGTTCTGACTTCACGGCCTGCACACTTCCTAAAGGGGCTGCTGAGGAGAAGCCCAGTGCCTTTGCAGGGAGGGGGGAGGGATGAAGTGAGGATAAGCGAATTAGTGCTACTTTGGGGGCGCCTGTTCAGAATATCACATTTTCGTCCCCACTTGCACAGTGAATTGGGTTGTGTGATCCCTGCATGAACTACTTGGAGGTAGAGAGAGGTCAAGTAGCTTGTTTTAGGTCACCCAGCTAGAACTGGGTGGAAGCTCGCATGGAGCAGTGGGACTCTGTGAGTCAACATCCCTTGCACCCCCGCTTTTTTTTTTTTTTTTTAATATTTTACTTATTAATGAGAGAGAGAAGCAGGCTCCCCGTGGGGAGCCAGAGGCGGGATTCAATCCCAGGACCCTGGGATCAAGACCTGAGCCAAAGGCAGATGCTCTACCACGGAGTCATACAGGCGTCCCACATCTCTTGACTTTTATGCACCATCATTTTCTGAATCTGAAGGTATTAGGCCAGTTGGCTCCACGTGCATAGGTGTAGCAGGTGATCGCCAATTTGGTGTGATCTGGGCACATCTTTTCTGACGAATTGCTGAACCTTTCACCATTAACAATTACTCCTTTCAGTTAGGAATCGCTCTTTTTCTACCATGTGAATATAGGGGAAGAGGCATCACATTTCATTGACATACCTAGTAGCGTCATGGTATCAATTATACGCCCTCTGGGATTTGAAGGTTCTTGGTGACTGTGTGTCACAGAGACAGGTTTCTCCTCCCTTGCAGGCGGAGGCCAGTGTTCTGCTAGGGGACACCAAATGGAGTTGTGCCGGGAGAAGGGTGTAAAGAAGGGATTTCTGAATGTTATGGCCTTAAACAAATGCCATACATTTGTGCAATTTATGATAAGCATAGTCAAATTGCTGCCATTTTGCAGAATTAACAGCACTTGACTATTGCTAACTGGGAAGAAGTATTTAGGCAATTGCCTGGCTCTGTGGTGGGAAGACTGCTGCTTTGTTGACCATCACTCTGTTCACATTTCCCCCCAAACAGTGACAGAGCTCTTTGTGCTGTTGCTCCTGCCTGTTCTTGTACCTTCTGGTCTATTGGCTGGTGAGATCCAGCCTAACCTCCAGTACCTCTTTGTGAATGATGTTGAGATATTTTGAACCTTCAGGAAGAGCAAGGACAGGCATTATGCCTGGCCTGAGCCAGAAGCACACCGAACATAGATCTTGGCATGTTGTGGAAATGCAGAAAATGTTTGCTGTGTTCATTTTTGCATTCTGCTTAAAGCTTAATGACAACAACCTCCGGTTTCCAAGTCTTAGTATTATTGTTTCTTGTTCTGGCTTATAAAAAAAAATCTAAATATTACTGTATTGTTCAACCAAGTCTCTTTAAGATTTCTTTAAATACAATGCAGTTAACCTTTAAAATTTTTATTATTAAGGTCCCATATGCTCACTAAAAAAAAAAAAAAAAAGATAAAAAGACAACTCCAGAATAACTCAGAAAGGTGAATTTTGCCCTACCACCATCACTCCTAAACATAACCATTGTTAACACTTAACATATTTTTCTTTTTTTTTTTTAAGATTTATTTATTTATTCATGAGAGACATAGAGAGAGAGAGAGAGAGAGAGAGAGAGTGTGTCAGAGACACAGGCAGAGGGAGAAGCAGGCTCCATGCAGGGAGCGGATGTGGAACTCAATCTCGGGACTCCAGGATCACACCCTGGGCTGAAGGCAGATGCTCAACCACTGAGTCACCCAGGGATCCCGCATATTTTTCTAAGATTGATTTACTTATTTGAGAGAGAACACGCCCATGCACCAGTGTGCCCGTATGTGAGCAGGGGGTGCTGGGCAGAGAGGGAGAGAAGCAGACTCCCGGCTAAGTGCGGTGCCCTCATGGCTTGATCTCGTGACCCTGAGATAACGACCTGAGCCAAAATCAAGAGTCGAGTACTCAACTGACTGAGCCACCCGGGCACCCCAACATAATTTTTCTCTATGACATTTTATAAAACCAGATATTTCTGATTTTGAGGGTAAAGAGAAAGATATCCGAGAGAGAAATGACATGTCAGAGAAATTCTATTCACAGCCAACCTCTAAACCCTATTATAATGTACAGCTTCCACTTTTTCTTCCCATTGAATGTAAATGTTTTTCAAGAAGCACATTATGTATTTTAACTTTTATCTCCTTTTTACTTTCCTTCTTAGAGACTTTTTTTTTTTTTTTATGATAGTCACACACACAGAGAGAGAGAGGCAGAGACATAGGCAGAGGGAGAAGCAGGCTCCATGCACCGGGAGCCCGACGTGGGATTCGATCCCGGGTCTCCAGGATCGCGCCCTGGGCCAAAGGCAGGCGCTAAACCGCTGCGCCACCCAGGGATCCCCTTCTTCTTTTTTTTTTTTTTGAATTTTTTTTTATTTATTTATGATAGTCACACAGTGAGAGAGAGGCAGAGACATAGGCAGAGGGAGAAGCAGGCTCCACGCACCGGGAGCCTGACATGGGATTCGATCCCGGGTCTCCAGGATCACGCCCTGAGCCAAAGGCAAGCGCCAAACCGCTGCGCCACCCAGGGATCAGGAATCCCCCTTCTTAGAGACTTGATAAATAGTCCCTAAAACTGTCTTATACATTGGGAACTTATACATTGGGAATAAAAAGGGGAAGCAAGGAAAGCATCTGAGTAAATAAGTGGCTGCTTTTTGATGGGGAACTGACCGAATTGTATTTTATCTTTGGACAGATTTTACAGAGATGATGAGAGCCTTGGGATACCCTCGACATATCTCTATGGAAAACTTCCGCACACCGAACTTTGGACTTGTGTCTGAAGTGCTTCTCTGGCTTGTGAGACGGTTAGAATTGTACTTTATTAAGGTCTAAGAATGAATACTATATTTTATTCAGTACCCACCTAGAGTACTGTTTGTAAAATACAGGAGTCAGTAAATTTTGAGTTTGACAGACTCAATTATAACCTGTTAAAAATCAGTTGCATATAAAGAACGATGTGGGAGAAGGGAATGTACTGGGCAGTGGTAAAAGATTTCTCAGTAGGAAGCAGACACTGGGCACTGGTCCACGCTCCTCTTCATGTTTTCACTTTCCTCGGGGTGACAGGGATCTCCACATGCTCTAGTGAGTATATTGGAGTAGAAATCATTTAGATTCAGATTTCATTTTGTGTGAAAAAAAAAAATTAAGCTTTATTTATTCACGAGAGACACAGAGAGGCAGACACAGGTAGAGGGAGAAGCAGGCTCCCCACACCTGATGTGGGACTCGATCCTGGGACTCCAGGCTCACGACCTGAGCCAAAGGGAGACGCTCAACCATTGAGCCACCCATGTGCCCCTTGGGTGAAAAATCTAATTCAGGGTTGGCAAACTTTTTTAAGGAGATCGTAAATATTTTAGGTGTTACAGGCTACATAAAATCTTTCTACCCTATTCTTTACGTCTCATAATCCTTTAGAGATGTAAAAACCCTCTTAGCATGCAGGCTGTACAGAGACACAGGGCGGCAGTCTGCTGACCGCTGGTGGGTCATCAGTAACTCGAAGAATTCCAGTAACTGCAGTTTGTCAAGCTAACTAGTTAGCCCTGGGTCAAGGGCTGTCAGCCAGAGTAATAGTTGTAATTATTTTAATTAAAATTTGAGGTCTGAGATAGATTTAATTTTGGAAGCTGAGCCCCAGATTTGATTTTTGAAGTTACTTAAGTCTGTTTTTAGATGAGTATTCACTCCCTTTGGTGTTTGGTATTTTATGATGCTTTTGAAGTCTTTCTTAATCTTTCTCCCTTAACCCGGGCACTCAGAGAGCCTGCTATTACAGATTGTCTCAGCTGTCCACTTTGTCTTTTGTGAACTTGGTGCTTAATTAACTTGTCTTTCTCTCCATGAAAGGTACGAACCTCAGACTGACATCCCTTCTGATGTTGAGACTGAACAAGACCGAGTTTTCTTCATTAAGGCAATTGCCCAGTTCCTGGTTAGTTGACAGTTACTTGCTGGAGTTGGACTATTAAGTACATTACAGATAAGTTTTTCTTTCCTACAGAAAGCAGCTATGGCTGCTTTCACCTTTCTAAGCCCATCTGATCACCAGGTTCCTGTGGAGGCATTTTGCCAGTACAGGCTTTTCGGTTTTTTGGTTTCGATTCATTTGTTAAGAATTCTATTTAGTTAGTTTTGTGGGTTTTTTTTTTAATGTTTTATTTATTTATTTATTTATTTATTTATTTATTATTTTTAAAGATTTTATTTATTTATGAGAGACACAGAGAGAGAGACAGAGACACAGGCAAAGGGAGAAGCAGACTCCATGCAGGGAGCCTGACGTGGGACTTGATCCCAGGTCTCCAGGATCAGTCCGTGGGCTAAAGGCGGCTCTAAGCTGTTGAGCCACCTGGGCTGCCCCTATTTTTTATTTTTTAAAGATTTTTATATATTTATCCATGAGACACACACACACACACACACACACACACACAGAGGCAGAGACACAAGCAGGCTCCACGCAGGGAGCCCAACGTGGGACTCCATCCCGGGTCTCCAGGATCATGACCTGGGCCAAAGGCGGTGCTAAACTGCTGAGCTACCTGAGCTGCCCATTTAGTTAGTTTTGAATAGGTAAAGTGCATCATAGTTAAAAAAATTTTTTTTTAAAGATTTTATTTAAGAGAGAGCACGCATGAGCAGGAGGAAAGGTAGAGGGAGAAAGAGAGGGAGAAACAGACTCCTTGCTGAGCAGGGAGCCTGACTGAGGGCTCAGTTTCAGGACCCTGGGATCATGACCTGAACTGAAGGTAGATGCCTCACTGACTGAGCCACCCAGGTGCCCCTGAGATTTTTTTTCTTAATTGTGAAACAATATAGAATAAAATTACTTTTTGTCATGTCTGCCATTGACCCAGTTCATCCCCAGTTCCATCCTCCAGTGATTCTTTATGGGTATATAAGCAAACACAGAATACATTCTTTTCCCTTCTTTTTACATGAATGGTAGCATATGGTACACCACTGCTTAGAATCTTGCTTTCTTCACTTAATGGTATGTTTTGGAGAACTTTCCAAATCCATATCTAGTTTCTTCATTCTCTTATACCTGGGTAGCATTGCTTTCATGGATATACCATGATTTATATAATTTATATATAGATCAGCATTTAGATTGTTTAACTTTTGCTTTTTGAAACTGTGCTATAGTGATAACCAATACGTATCATTTTGCTTGTGGCTGTATCCTTAGGATAAGTTCTTAAGATTGGAATTGCTGGGTCAAAGATGCGTGCATCTGTAATTTTATTGTTATTTACCAAATTGCTCTCTATCAAGATTGTATCAGTTTACACACCCACTTGCAGCGCTTGAGTCCCTTGGAAGTTTAACTCAGCACAATCACGTTATTAAAGAGAGGTTTTCAAATTACCTACATGGGATTCAATTTAGATTTTACGTATGAAAGGGCCTTAAACTTTTTTTTTTTTGTCTGAAACTAGGCCACCAAGGCACATATAAAACTCAATACCAAGAAGCTTTATCAGGCAGATGGGTATGCAGTGAAAGAACTTTTGAAGATCACCTCTGTCCTTTATAATGCTATGAAGACCAAAGGGATGGAGGGTTCTCAGATAGGAGAGGAGGACATCAGCAAATTCAAGTTTGATCTTGGCTCAAAGGTAAGGACAATGAGAGGCTCTCAATGACACAGGACAGAATGTGTACTACTTAAACTCTGAAGGGGAACATGTCAGGTACTTTCCATAGTCGTTGACTGAGAGCAGTTTGTCAGTTCTGTGCTCACAGCATTTGGTTACAAAGAGAAGGCACAAGAAATGAATCCAGCTGCATATCAAAAGCCCACTGTATGCCAGGCACAGTTGAGATGCTGGGGATACAGGCGTGAACAACAAGGACAGAAATCCTGTTCCTGTGGCTCCAGGGGAGAGTCAGACTAAGCCACAAAGCAGAAGGAACGGCAGGTCAGAGGTGATCAGTGTGTGGGGAAGTCAAAGCAGGGCAGGGCCTGGGGTAGGCGAGGTGGGTATGCTCAGTAGGGAGATGGGACTGGTGAGTCTTCAGAGCTCTGAAGGAGGGAGGAGCAAGCCATGCAGCAGAGGAAAGGTAGCCTCTGATGAAAGTATGCTTTGTGTGTTTGAGGACACGGAGCCATTCAGGGAGAGACTGGGAGCTGGGAGCGGGGTGGTGACAGACCCCTGCGTGGTGCCTGCACAGCCACGGTAAAGACTTTGACTCTGAGCTGGGAAATCACTGCGCTTAGAGCAGAGAAGTACATGATTCAAAGGATCACTTTGGGTGCTTGGTTGAGATCAGACTGAAGGAGGTGAGGGTCGAAGCAGACCTGTTAGAGAGCAAGAGATGACCGTGACCTTGAACAGGGCAGTGATGTCAGGAGCTTAGCTGAGATGGGAGAGAGCTGAGCTGCCAGGCTTTGGAGGACTTGGTGAAAGCAGCAAGCCAAAAATGAAAGTTAAGTCTTTAACCCCCTACTGTGATGGTTTGGGCCAGCGGCTAAAAGCAGAGGAAGCATCACCCCTCTCTCCTGCCAGGCTGTTCTGTTTTCTCCCAGGAGAAGACACACCCTTCAAGGGGTTGTCTTCTGAGGGAGCTCTCAAAAGAAGTCTCCGGCGGGCGGGGAGGACTAGGATTGGAAGAGTGGTGTGTCTTGAGTCAGTGGGAAGAGTGGCCTCAGGTTTTCTCCCCAGCTCCCCCACAAGGAGGCAGAGGCAGAGGTGCTGAAGAGGACCTCAACCCACCCTGAAGACCTGGGAGTGAAGGCTCCCGGGCTAGGGGTGCAGATGGAAGGTGGGGGTCAGAGGGCCCTGAGTCCTTGACTTCCACTCCTTTCAGAGCCTGCACTGCCTTGCTGTGCCTTGGCTGGTGTGAGCCTGGGCATAAGTCCCCGCTGACTGCATGAGGCCTGCCAGGGGAAGCCTTTGTGATCACCTGTGGTCGGCCGGAGAAATCATACTTAAGTGGTTTTTTTTTTTTTTTTAAGATTTTATTTACTTATTCATGAGAGACACATAGAGAAGGAGAGGCAGAGAACACAGGCAGAGGGAGAAGCAGGCTCCATGCAGGGAGCCTGACATGGGACTCAATCCCAGGACTCCAGGATCATGCCCTGGGCTGAAGGCAATGCTAAACTCCTGAGTCACCCGGGCTGCCCCACATTTAGGTTTGTAACTAGGAGCCAGACTGCTCAGTGGAAAGAAGTGGCCAGAAGTTAGAACCTAATTTAAATGTGGATCTTGTGGGTTTGGATGTGAGTTGAGAGAAAACCGACCATGCAGGGAAGATCCTACAGCCACACTGTCTACTGGAAGTTTCTGTGATGATAAATGTTCTGTATCTATGCCATACTGTAGCAGCCACTAATCCTGTGTAGCTAGCACAACCAAATGACCAGGTTCCAAATTTTATTTAAATTTAAATAATTTAACATTGAAAATTGGCCACATGTGGCAAGTCCACACAGTTTAGCCATCAGAGCTCTGAAGTATTTGGTCTGAGTACCTGCAGGGGTGAAGTTGCATTTACTGTAATGGAGGGGATTGTGGGAGGAGCAGGCCTGGTGGGAAAGGTGGGGAGTTTGGGTGGGAGCACATTGAGTATGGGGGCGTCCAGCCTCCGGTCATAGGAGGTGTTGCCGCCTGAGCTTAGGATGGAGAGCGGGTAGAGAAGAGTTCAGAGACTGAACTCTGATGGCCTCCAGGGCTGGGAAGTGGGAAGCTGGGGAGATGATGAGACAAAGGGAATGGGACATTCGCTGCAATGAGGTTGTGTGTGTGGGGTAGCTGGAGGAAGCAGAACCCTGGGGGACTAAGGAAAGGGGAAGAAAGTCAGTGGCTATGAACGCAGAGGGAGACTTGCTGTCCGTGGCTTGGGAATAAAAGTGAGGTGGGACTTCATTGGGGAGCGAGGAAGAGTGAGCAGAGTAAGGAAATGTTTGGGTTCTCTGGAAAAGTTAGCATGAACAAGGAAGTGTTGAGGGGACCTGCGAACCCTAAGAAAGAAGCTTGTGCTTGGGGCTGGAGGCTGGCATCTTCCCAGCAGTAGCTCCACCCTTGCAGGAGCCGGCTACTGCTATGCACATGTTAACTCACGGGACCCTGGGACCCTTGGCAGCCCTGCACCCTGCTGTGAGGAGGCAGAGAGCTGGAAGCAGCAGGGTTGAGCACAGGACAGCAGGATTCTGCAGCAGGAAATGTGTCTCAGGTTCCCCTCTGGGGAACAGCTCGCGCACAGGATGGAAATATGTGTCTTGTGGAAAACGTGTTTAGCAGTCAGGTATCCTGACTGGTGGCAGAAATTGTTATTAACAAACTGGTTGTTTCTGAATGTCCATTAAAAACCTGTCACCAAGGTTTCTGTTTTTGATATTTTCCCTCCAGATTGCAGATTTGAAAGCAGCCAGGCAGCTTGCTTCTGAAATCACCTCCAAAGGAGCATCTCTGTATGACCTGCTGGGCAAGGAAGTAGAGTTGAGGGTAAGCTGAGTTCAGATACTTAAATACTTAGCTGAGCATTTTTCAAGGTTTTCTTGCCGATTCTGTGGTTTCCCTGTCCTCGTTTCATTACACTGAACCTGATTAAATGAGGAATGTGCAGGGAGGTCATAGTATGAACTGCTAATCCTGATTCTAGTGGCTGCTGCTCTATTCTTAATAGCTTTGACTTTTAGTTCAGGAATGGCAGTTATGTGGCATGCTTCTGGCACTTGCCTCCTTGTGCCCATGGCAGACTGCTGGTCATGGTGTTTTTCCTTGGGAACTCAGCATTTGTGTCTACAAAGTGCTCTTCTGAGCCCATGGTTCCCAGACCTTGCTCCCAAGAGGAATCCCATGGGGACCTATAAAAACTACTGATACTTGGCTTCTGTGCCAGTGTCATTGGCTTGGAGTAGACCTGGACACTGGGGCTTGTTAAGTCTTAGCTAATCTAATGTGCAGCAGATTTGGGCAGCCTGTGACCTAGCCAGTTACTACCCCTCAGCTGAAGTTGATGTTACCATTAAAATTTATTTGCACTCCTTGTTTTAGACAATTCCAACCAAGGACAATGCTTCATCCACTATGTTTACAGAGCTGTTTTTTTTTTTTTTTAATTTTTATTTATTTATGATAGTCACACAGAGAGAGAGAGGCAGAGAGACACAGGCAGAGGGAGAAGTAGGCTCCATGCACCGGGAGCCCGACGTGGGACTCGATCCCGGGTCTCCAGGATCGTGCCCGGGGCCAAAGGCAGGCGCCAAACCGCTGCGCCACCCAGGGATCCCCGTTTACAGAGCTGTTTAATAAGAGTGTGGCTCCTATAGTCCTTTTAAATGTCCAAGTTGTCCTCCATACCAGTGAATTAGAATGTCTGGGGGTGAGAGCCAGCCATCCAGCCCCCCCACCCCACTTTTTTAAGATTTATGTATTTGTGGGGGCGGGGTGAAGGAGAGGTGCCAGTGGGAGGTACAGATGGAGAGGAAGAGAGAATGTCAAGCAGACACTGCACTGAGTGTGGAGCCCAACTTGAGGCTCGATCTCAAAACCCTGAAATCACAACCTGAGCCAAAACCAAGAGTTGATCACTTAACCAACTGTGCCCTCCAGGCACCCCACTCAGGGGCCCCCCCAGACATCCAGCTTTTAAAGAACTCCAAGTGATTCCATTGTGCAGTAAAAGTTTGGGACCTACTGGTTTAAGAAGAAATGGAGTTTTGTTTAATTTTTATCTGTAAGGATTTATGGCATTTGAAGCATGCATGCTCACCTCTAATTTTTTTTTTAATTTTTATTTATTTATGATAGTCACAGAGAGAGAGAGAGAGGCAGAGACATAGGCAGAGGGAGAAGCAGGCAACATGCACCGGGATGCCTGATGTGGGATTTGATCCCAGGTCTCCAGGATCGCGCCCTGGGCCAAAGGCAGGCGCCAAACAGCTGCGCCACCCAGGGGTCCCACCTCTAATGTTTTTAAATTAAGTGCATTTAATTAATTTTGTTCCAGTCGGTAAGTCAGCCATGACCTCCCTCACTGCCTGGCCTTTGTTCTGGAATCACTGCTGTAGTGTAATGGTATTTTTCCTCTCGCTTTTCATTTCTGTCCCTGGAAGCAGGGGACTTGGGTGCCAGCTCATTATCCTGCTCTTGATATATTAACCTAGCAGTTGCCACCTGGTGAAGGGCAGTTGACAGAATAAAACTGCCACTCTTATCTAATAGCTAATTTAGATAACTAACAAGACAGCTCCAGGCCTTCTATGTTTTCTCTTTATAGTGCATGTGGGGGTGTGTCTGCATGCATTTCTAACATACCTAGAGACAAGAGCTCATCACTTGATAATTGCCACAGAGCTGTGGCTTCATTGTATGACTTCAATTAGGATTCTACTAGGGATTCTTAGCACCATCCTATAATGAATTGAAATAATCAGTGGCTGAACTATTGCCATGGGAGCCCAGAATATGGTACTTCTCACATTCTGTATACAGCTGTAATCTGAGGAAGATCCCCTACCCAGTATTTGTTTTTCATACACTCAAACATTCCTTGAGGGCTAGCACCCACCATAGGCAAGGCACCGTGCCTTGTGTCCTTGAGTAGGTCATAATCCCTGCCCTCCATAGTTTCCATCAGTTGGGGATATGAGGAGTACCATGGAATAAAGGAAGCCAAGGCTGAGTTTGCTGCAGGAACCTTATAACTGCATTGGCGTTGAAATCCCATGTGTCAGAAGTTCCTAGCACTGTTGTGATAGGCACGGATGCCTCCCTTGATTGGTTCATGGTTAATGCCAGGGGCAGGGCCATGGTGACTCCTCTCATTATGGTTAGTATCAGTTATCAACAACAAGCAACTTAGAGGGAATCAATCATAGGAAATATCATAGAAGCTGGCAGAGGATTCATACAGCAAGTTGAGCAACACTTGGTTTTGGATTCACCTGAACAAATGTAGGGAAAGGAGCAAATTTGGAAGAAAAGATGATGGGGGTAAGCTCAGTTTTGCCCGTGGTGTCTTGGCGATGTGGGGGCTATAGTTGGGGACGGCCCAGGGCATTAGAGGGAGGATAGGTTGGCAGTAGGATTAGAAAGATGTGGGGCCACCTGGCTGGCTCACTTGGTGGAGCATACGACTCTTGATCTCAGGGTTGAGAGTTCAGGCCTCACGTTGGAAGTAGATAAGACTTAAAAAAAAAAAAAAAGACGTTTGGAAGAGGTGCTGGAAGAAAATTTTACATCAGATATGTACCCTGTAATAGAACTTCGGAAAACTAATCTATAAACCATATACAGATCTGGGGATTAGTTTTGAGAATTCATTTTCTGAAAATCCTTGTAATTTCATTTCATTGTTTCTCATAGGAACTGAGAACAGAAGCAATTGCCAGACCTCTGGAAATAAATGAGACTGAAAAAGTGATGAGAATTGCAATAAAAGATATTTTGGTAAGATTATTTGCTTTTATGTAATGTTGTTGTGCCTAGGACTTGAAAATACTGATTTATTCCCTGACTTCTTAAGACAGAATAACCCTAGGCGTAGTGACAGAGAAAGGGGTATGATGTGGGGAAATGGAAAATGCAGAGGACAGTCTAGGATACCTAGGTTATTTACTTCTATTTTTTTCTCCTTGTTGTAAATATGAACAACTGCTCCCCCCAAATTTGTCAGTTTTAATAACTTAACAATTCCCTTAAATTCTTCAATAATTTTCATAAGTAATGCTCTATTGTATGGACTTTCATTACTTTAACTACTTCCTTACTATTGGGCATTTAAGTCATTTTCAGGTTTACTTTTTTTTTTTTTTTTTTTTTTTTTAATGGTGCTCACACCTGGGCATGGAGATTTTTTCTCTCTCTCCTTAATTTTTATTTTAAAAAATGTTATGTATTTCAGAGAGGAAGCGAGCATGAGTTGGGGGATGGAGGGACAGAGGAGGGAGAAGTAGACCCTCACTGAGCAAGGAGCCCGATGCGGGCTCAATTCCAGGACCCTGAGATTGTGACCTGAGTTGAAGGTAGACACTAGACCCACCAAGCCACCCAGGTGTCCCATCTCTCTCTCTTTTTTAAAATATTTATTTATTTCAGGGCAGCCGGGGTGGCTCAGCGGTTTAGCGCTGCCTTCAGCCCAGGGCCTGGTCCTGGAGACCCGGGATCGAGTCCCACGTCGGGCTCCCTGCATGGAGCCTGCTTCTCCCTCTGCCTGTGTCTCTGCCTCTCTCTCTCTGTGTCTCTCATGAATAAAAAAATAAACTCTTAAAAAAAAAAAAAAGACTTGGGATCCCTGGGTGGCGCAGCGGTTTGGTGCCTGCCTTTGGCCCGGGGCGCGATCCTGGAGACCCGGGGTCGAATCCCGCATCGGGCTCCCTGCATGGAGCCTGCTTCTCCCTCTGCCTGTGTCTCTGCCTCTCTGTCTCTCTCTGTGTGACTATCATGAATAAATAAATAAAATCTTAAAAAAAAAAAAGACTTAAAAAAAGATTTATTTATTTCAGAGAGAGAGTGAACACATGAGCTAGCTGAGTGAGGGAGAAGGAGAGAAGGAGAAGGAGAGAGAATCTCAAGCAAACTTCCTGCTGATTGTGGAGCCTGACACAGGGCTCGATCTCACAATCCTGAGACCACGACTTGAGCCAAAACCAAGAGTCAGACACTTTAACCAGCTGCACCGCCCTGGTGCTTCTGGGCACAGGGTTTCTAACTAGCGCTATAAAGAATAGAATGACCGCCATCCTTTACTGCTTACCTATAGTCAAGTATTTGCTCATCTTACCTGATGCATTCATTTGGAGGGCAGTAGTGAGGGAGACTCTAGACTCAGACTGCTTGGGTTTGAATCCCACTGTCTGATCTTAAGTAAGTTACTTAACCACGCTGTGCCTCACTTTGCTCATCCATAAAGTGAGGAGAATGGTATTGTCTGCCACATAGGGTCATTACGTACATTCATTATGACAGTGCGCGGTATTTGTAGTCTCCAGCACATGTAGGTATTCAGTCATTACTAGGGATTTATTTTATTTTATTTTATTTTATTTTATTTTATTTTATTTTATTTTATTTTATTTTTTTATTTTAATTTTTGGGGGGATTCATTTTACTCAATAGACATAGGAGAGGGGATCCCTGGGTGGCTCAGCAGTTTGGCGCCTGCCTTTGGTCCGGGGCACGATCCTGGAGACCTGGGATCGAGTCCCATGTCTGGTTCCTGGTGTGGAGCCTGCTTCTCCCTCTGCCTGTGTGTCTCTGCCTCTCTCTCTCCCTCTGTGTCTATCATAAATAAATAAATAAATAAATAAATAAATAAATAAATAAATAAATAAATCTTTAAAAAAATAGACATAGGAGAGCCTTATGTAAACTAGGAGTAGCATAAAACAAGAATTTGCTGAGAGTTGTAAATTCTAAGATTTTTTTTTTTTTTTTTTTTTTTTTTTTTTTTTTTTATGATAGAGAGAGAGGCAGAGACGCAGGAGGAGGGAGAAGCAGGCTCCATGCTGGGAGCCCGAAGTGGGACTCGATCCCAGGACTCCAGGATCGCGCCCTGTGCGAAAGGCAGGCACCAAACTGCTGAGCCACCCAGGGATCCCCCTGTAAATTCTAAGATTGATAGGTTTTTATAATATCCTTGTCATAAAACAGTACTACTCCCTGGGCAACCCAGCACCAGGGTTCAACCTTAGCCGTGAGGAAGGGAGGGCAGCTGAGATGGGACATCAGTTACATGCAGGCAGACAGATCCAGGAGGTAAATATGTTAAAGATAACGGAAGTCAAGGTTTTCACGGTTGGAAAACAGTTACGGATATGAAAAACTTAGAATGAACCCTGAAATTGGAGGTGTTGGCTAAGTGCATAGTTTTCATTGGATAGACAGGTAACTGGCTAGCTCTAGGAATGCATTTGGTACGCATGTATGTTTGTACACATGAGTGTATGTCATATTTATGTACATGCCCATGTACGCCCACATACACATTCATACATTTCCTAGCTCTGAGCAAACCTACCATCAGATCTTGGCTTCTCAATGCCATTCTCCACTAAAAGGAACCAGGGCTCTTGGGAAGAAGCATCTGAGTCCAGAGGCTGGAACAGGAAAGTACAAGATCCCGTCGTGCCCAGAGAATGAAAGGGATCTATCAAAATCCTTTGCAAAATAGATAGCAAACCAGGGACAATTTAAGCTTCAAAATCAATAAATTATAGTAATGGATCATAGAGCATTGAATGAAATGGGAGGCCATGAGTTCTCACTGATATAAAAAATAAAGGACTATATTGAAAGCTGATGAAGAGAAAGTATTTATTTCTTATAGTTTCAAAGTAGTTCCTTTCAAGAGTACTTAGTAATTACAAAGGAGAAAACAGTGACTCCACTTGAGAATCCTGGCAGACACCTGCTTAATCAGGTTGCTGGTAGTGGGACAAATAAAAATCCTGCACACCCTATAGGACTCAGTGATAGCTGTGCTGTTTCTGCTAAAAGGTGCATAATCTGAAGCTTATCAGACAAAGGCAGATTGAAGGACATTTTCCAAGCTGCTTGGCCCTTCTCTCCAGCAGTGGAAGGACATGGAAGTCCAGGAAGGGCCAAGAAGTCAAGGAAATGTGATGACCGAATGCCAGGGTGACCTCCGCCTGGTGTTACGGACGCCACGGCACAAGTGGGGATATCTGAGAGAGTCTGAGGACTGCATGGTGGTGGTGCACCTGCGTTCATTTCATGTTTCAGTGATTGTATCATGGTTGTGAAGGAAAGAGAAAGTCCTTGTTCATGGGAAATACAAATATTGAGAGGTGATGGGACCTCAAGCCAGCAACCCACTCTGACCTGGGTCAGGAAAAAATGCTTTGTATTCTACTCTAGCTGTTTGTAAGTTTGTGATTGTTTCTCAATGTAAGTTTTTTAACTGCTAATACTCTTGTGCTTGTCAGTGTTCTGGCTGGATCAGGTTAACATGGCATGAATGTGCCTTTAGCACTAAGTATATATTAGAATAGTGAAAGGAGGGCACTGTTCATTTCTTGGGGGAACCTCCTTATGTATGTATGTATTATTTCCTTTTTTATTTTTTTAAAATATTTTATTTTTTTTATTAATGAGAGACAGAGAGAGAGAGGCAGAGACACAGGCAGAGGGAGAAACAGGCTGGCTCCATGTAGGGAGCCCGACGTGGGACTCGATCCGGGGACTCCAGGATCACGCCCCAGGCCAAAGGTGGCGCTAAACCACTGAGCCACTTGGGCTGCCCTATTTCCTTTTTTAAATTGAAATATAGTTGACACGCAATGTTAACATTTTTTTTTAAGATTTAAAAAAAAAACATTTTTTTTTAAGATTTTATTTATCTATTCATGAGAGACACACACACAGAGAGAGGCAGAGACATGGGCAGAGAGAGAAGCAGGCTCTATGCAGGGAGCCTGATGCAGGACTCGATTCCAGGACTCCAGGATCACGCCCTTGTTCAAAGGCAGACTCTAAACCACTGAGCCACCCAGGGATCCTCTCAAGGTTAACATTAGTTTCAGGTGTACAACATAGTTGGTGAAGGCCTTTTAATGTATCTGTTAGTTGCTACAAAATATCCATGATGTTTGATAATTCTAAAAGCAAAACCAAAACAACAGCATGGATACTGAAAAGGGGTTATAATATATAGTTGTTTCAGAAAGCTAGGGGAAATTGTGTTTATCACACTGATAGTTATTTTTTTAACATCTTTTTTTCTTTATATATATTATATATATATATTTATATATATATATATTTTTTTATAACATCTTTTTTTTATATATTCATTATATAATATTCAATACTCTAATAATAATAATGTTTAAAAATAAACAGAGGCAGAGACATAGGCAGAGGGAGAAGCAGGCTCTGTGGGGAGCCTGATACGGGACTCGTTCCAAGGACCCCAGGGTCATGCCCTGAGCCAAAGGCGGATGTTCAACCACTGAGCCACCCAGGCATCCCTAAAAAGATCTATTTATCTATTTGAGAGAGCGAGCATGTACCTGCATGGTTGGGGAGAGGCAGAGTGAGAGGAAGAATCTAAAGCGGAATCCCCGCTGAGTGCAGAGCCCAACATGGGGCTTGATCCCACGTTCCCGAGATCATGACCTGAGCGAAAACCAAGAGTTAGACGGATGCTTAACTGACTGAGCCACTGGGGCCCCTGGTTTAAAGGTTTTTTAACCTTTAAAAAAATTACTTTTATTTTTGAAATCAGATAAATTCACTAGGCTTAATCTGACTTTGATTCAGAGAAATATAGTTGCTGTCTACATGAGTTCAGAAACTCACCTTGTCTTCTGTTGTGAGAGTGAATTTATATCTCTTGTGGAGTTTTTATTATTTTTATTTGAAAGGTTTTATTTATTTATTCATGAGAGATAGAGAGAGAGGGAGAGAGGGAGAGACACAGGCAGAGGGAGAAAGAAGCAGGCTCCATGCAGGGAGTCCGACGTGGGACTCGATCCCGGGTCTCCAGGATCATGCTCTGGGCTGAAGGCGGCGCTAAACCGCTGAGCCACCTGAGCTGCCCCTTCTTGTGGAGTTTTTAAAGTACTTGCAGCAAATGGATAGTGATATGATTATTTTCATGAGAATATCTTAGAAACGATTAGTGTACTTCTTTGAAAAAACTCAACCATAAATAAACAATAAAAGTGGTTGCTTCCAAATATCCAGTTAGAGTGTCTGGGCTCCTTTGATGATGACTTGTGGACCCCATAGCATCTTAGAGACCTGCAGGTAAACCCCCAGCCTTTGTGGGGCATAACCCATGTGCAGAGTACTGGAGGGGAGAGCCCCATGTCGGGCATCAGGAACTAAAGGCAGAGTTGGAATGTCAGAATTTGGAAGACAGTTGCATAGTCAGCTGGCTGCGTGCAGACATTGTTCCTAATGCAGTGGATTGGATCGCAACTCTGAGCCACAGGCCTGACCTGGCCGGCTTTCCAGACAAGATGAGTGTGAAGACGGTGCGTTCATTCTGACTACTCCATGTCACGTGAACTTGCTCTTGACTGTGTCCCCTGCAGGGAGGTCTGCAGGTTTTGTCTGTGGTCTCTCCTTCCCTCTCTCCTTCCCCTTCTTTCTCTGGCCCTGCTGCCCAGGCTCCCTCCCAAAAGCTGGGTCCACTGAAGGAGCCACTTTCTCACTGACTTCAGTGCCGTAGTTTCTCTGTTTTAGTCTATAGTTGAGGCTTACTTGCCAGTGGGAGGAACTTTCTCAGTCCCAGCAAGCAGTGGGTGAGGGCTGGGACCACTGAATGTTTCTTTTTGTCCCTTCCTAAATAAAGCCATACTTGGTAGTGGATATATTCCATGAGTCAGATATTTGTAATGGGGTGGGGGGTGGCTGAACAATGTGAATAAAGGCAGGCTAACAGTCCAGAGTGTATGTAAGCACTGTGAGCAAGTGAGCTGCACAGGAGGTCTGGGCCTTGCTCCCCTCTGCTCAGGACACTGTTCTTTCTGTTTTCATTTGTTTTCCTGGGGACAAGCATCCTCTTTTCATGGAAAAAGGATCATTTTTTTTGTGGACCTATGTGGCCTCCTGCCAAAATGGTTGGTGAACTGAGCGATGGCTTAGGGGAGGGTTTGCTCTGTATGTTTACTTTTGCTTTTCTGTAGTGTGATGTCACTGTGCCTGAGGAGTTGTGCACATCCTCTCTTCCAGGAGTCAGGTCGGAGTTCCTCACTGGCCCATTCATTTCCTATTCAATGCAGGCGCAGGTCCAGAAGACTAAAGATCTGCTCAATAATGTGGCTTCTGATGAAGCTAATTTAGAAGCCAAAATCGAGAAGAGGAAATTAGAACTGGAAAGAAATCGGAAGCGGCTCCAGACTCTGCAGAGCGTCAGGTAGATATGAACACCTGAAGAGTGGGATGAGAGTTGTCTTTGGCAGTTCAAGCAGAGTGAGGACTTGTGGTCAGTGGCTTTGGCCCCTTGGGCATAAGATCATCTGGACTGGTTCGTGTGCGGGCCACATGCATCCTAACAAGTGCTCTGCCAAACTCATTATCTTTGCTGCTTTCAGTGTGCCTGGGAAATTGCTTAATTCTCGAACCTCCCTTTAGTCCTTTACAGCTTCTTGGAATGCAGGGCAGAGTAAGTGAATCCAGATGGTGAAAGTTACATAAGGCTCCTCTCCTAAGATCTGTGCCTTGCCCTAAACGAGGTAGACACAGAAGCATACTCTCATTTCTTAGTTTGAATAGATTTTAGACTTTTATTTTTCTTGACAGTAATTAATCTTTCTTTTGACTTTCCCTCCCTGAAAATACCTTTTTCCAGGTAATATGAATGGATAGTAGTGGTGCAAAATACCCTCCAGGTCATTAGAGCTTTTCTTTTTCTTTTTCTTTTTTTTTTTTTTTAATTTTTATTTTTATTTATGATAGTCACAGAGAGAGAGAGAGAGGCAGAGACACAGGCAGAGGGAGAAGCAGGCTCCATGCACCGGGAGCCCGATGTGGGATTCGATCCCGGGTCTCCAGGATTGTGCCCTGGGCCAAAGGCAGGCGCCAAACCACTGCGCCACCCAGGGATCCCTCTTTTTTTCTTTTTTTAATTTGTTTATTCATGAGAGACGCAGAGAGAGGGAGAGAGGCAGAGACACAGGCAGAGGGAGAAGCAGGCTCCATGCAGGGAGCCCGACTTGGGACTCGATCCCAGGTCTGCAGGATTACACCCTGGGCTGCAGGCGGCCCTAAACTGCTGCGCCACCAGGGCTGCCCTCATTAGAGCTTTTCAAGTGTGTTCCTCACATTTTCTTGGAGCCTGTGTGTGCACCCACACGCTCTCTCTCACTCTCGTTTTGCATCTTCTTTCTCTTGCTCTATCGTTCTGCTACACTGCTTCTCTTCCTTTTCATTCTCCCTTTATTTTTCTCTCTTCACTCCGTCTGTGTAGCTGCTGCATCTGTCTGGATGTCTTGCTTTTTGGAGGTACTGGTGACTGGGCCACACCCTGGCTACTGTCCTGGCATCTGTGGAGATACGTGTAATCCAGGGAGCACTAGCCACTGGCAAGCCATTTCACTTTTGGATTCTGGGCCACCTGATACATGTATCTCATTAAAAAATTCGGGATCCCTGGGTGGCGCAGCGGTTTGGCGCCTGCCTTTGGCCCAGGGCGCGATTCTGGAGACCCCGGATCGAATCTCACGTCGGGTTCCCGGTGCATGGAGCCTGCTTCTCCCTCTGCCTGTGTCTCTGCCTCTCTTTCTCTCTCTCTCTCGGTGACTATCATAAAATAAATAAAAATTTAAAAAAAAATTAAAAAAAAAATTCTACCTCTCAGGGATAAATTCATTTTTGTTAAGTTTCATGGCCTTTCAATAGAAGAGTTCATATGTTTTCTCTACTCCTAAGGTTATATATTATTATTTAGCTTATCTGTTTATATATATATATATTTAAAGATTTATTTATTTATTCATGAGAGACACGGAGAGAGAGAGAGAGAGAGAGAGAGAGAGAGAGAGAGAGGCAGGCAGAGAGGCAGAGACATGGAGTAGGGGAAGCAGGCTCCATGCAGGGAGCCTGATGTGGGACTCGATCTCCTATCTCCAGGATCACACCCTGGGCTGAAGGTGGCGCTAAACCACTGAGCCACCTGGGCTGCCCCATCTGTTTATGTTTTTAAAAGAAGAGAGTTTTCCCTTTAAGATCAAAAATAAGAGAAAAAAATAGGTATAACAAACCAGTTGAAACAGGTTTTTGTGTTATAGTTTTGGTTTTAGATTTTATATTGTTAAAAACTTAGCTTTAGGGATGTCTGGATGGCTCAGTTAAGTGTTGGGACTCTTGGTTTCAGCTCAAGTCATGATCTCAGAGTCATGAGATTGAGCCCCACATTGGGCTCCCCACTCAGCGGGGAGTCTGCTTGAAGATTTTCTCTCTCTCTCCCCGTCTGCCCCTCTCTTCCCCACTGCTTGCATGTATATGCTCACTTGCTTTCTCAAATAAAAATAAAAATCATTTTTAAAAATTAGCTTTAATTTGTAGCAACCTATATTTCCCTTATTAGGGGACAGACTACATTTTGGAGCATCCAGACTGCAGAATATTATGCTCAAGTAAGATAATGCATACATTTAACTTCTTGATTTTGTGAGGTATTTTTGTTTGTTTTTTTAATTTTTTTTTTAATTTATTTATGATAGTCACAGAGAGAGAGAGAGAGAGGCAGAGACACAGGCAGAGGGAGAAGCAGGCTCCATGCACCGGGAGCCTGACGTGGGATTCGATCCCGGGTCTCCAGGATCGCGCCCTGGGCCAAAGGCAGGCGCCAAACTGCTGCGCCACCCAGAAATCCCTTGTGAGGTATTTTTGATATGTGATTAATTTTTAAGTCTTTATTAAAATCCAAACCATTGGGCAGCCTGGGTGGCTCAGCGGTTTAGCGCCACCTTTGGCCCGGGGCCTGATCTTGGAGACCCAGGATCGAGTCCCATGTCAGGCTCCCTGCTTGGAGCCTGCTTCTCCCTCTGCCTGTGTCTCTGCTTCTCTCTCTGTGTCTCTCATGAATAAATAAAATCTTAAAAAAAAAAAGATCCAAGGCATTTTTAAAAATTAATTTATTTATGATAGACATAGAGAGAGAGGCAGAGACACAGGAGGAGGGAGAAGCAGGCTCCATGCCGGGAGCCCGACGCAGGACTCAATCCCGGGACTCCCAAGATCGCGCCCTGGGCCAAAGGCAGGCGCCAAACCGCCGAGCCACCCAGGGATCCCCCCAAGGCATTTTGAGTAAGAAAAAAGACTGCAAAGCTTCATCGAAGATGGTAATATACTTAATGATATTTAAAAATGCATCCCTAAAAAAAAAAAAAAAAAGCATTCCTTTTTTTTTTTTTTTTTTTTTTTTAAAGAGAGATAAAGACCACTCTGATCATGGTCTAAGAACTTCTCTTTCTTTCTTTTTTTTTTAATTTTTATTTATTTATGATAGTCACAGAGAGAGAGAGAGAGAGAGGCAGAGACACAGGCAGACGGAGAAGCAGGCTCCATGCACCGGGAACCCGACGTGGGATTCGATCCCAGGTCTCCAGGATCGCGCCCTGGGCCAAAGGCAGGCGCCAAACCGCTGCGCCACCCAGGGATCCCAAGAAATGCATTCCTTTTTTTTTTAATTTTTATTTATTTATGATAGTCACATAGAGAGAAAGAGAGGCAGAGACACAGGCAGACGGAGAAGCAGGCTCCATGCACCGGGAGCCCGACGTGGGATTCGATCCCGGGTCTCCAGGATCGGGCCCTGGGCCAAAGGCAGGCGCCAAACCGCTGCGCCACCCAGGGATCCCAAGAAATGCATTCCTATATGGATCCATGCGTAGAAAAGTCTGGAAGGATGCTTACCAAATATTAAGTGCTTATACCTGGTGATAGAATTATGAGTAATTTTTACCCTATTCTTCATACTTTGAGATTATTTCTAATTTTTACAGAGAGCTTTTGATTAGAAAAAATAATAAGTATGTTCATTTTGAAGGGAGGGAGGGAGAAGAAAAGAGAACTGGGCTGTAAGCAGCTACGAGATGAAGAACCCTCTCCAGCTAAGGACTTTTCTACAGCAAACCGTGATGGCACCTGGAACTCAGAGTACTTGTTTCAAACTACTGTTTAGTGATCCATCTTTTACTTTTTATTTCATTTGGTTGTTTCAGGCCAGCTTTTATGGATGAATATGAGAAGATCGAGGAGGAGTTGCAAAAGCAGTATGACGTTTATCTAGAGAAATTTCGAAATCTGGCTTATCTGGAACAGCAACTCGAGGACCATCATAGAATGGAGCAAGAAAGGTTTGAGGTAAGTGCTCAGCCCATATTTCTGTACAGACCATTCCTCCTGGTGTGTTATTTTGTACTTGTTGATGTGTCACTTTGTAAATACTGTAGAAAAAAAAATCTGCGAATGTTTTTTTCTCCCTGATCAAGTGTAAGGATTGCTCATGTGACACTTTTGTTTAACTCCTAGTGTCGCTTGAGCACCGGGTTGTCAGCAGTCTGATGGATTTGGTCAGTAGGACTGCAGACGGGGCCGACACATGACCACGTAGTTGAATAAGACATGGCTTAGGAGGGCCTGTTCTTACTTTAATGCTGTGCTATCACTGGCTTGAAATTCTTTTTTTTTTTTTAAAGATTTTATTCATTTATTCATGAGAGACACACAGAGAGAGGCAGAGACATATCAGAGAGAGAAGCAGGCTCCATGCAGGGAGCCCGATGCAGAACTCGATCCAGAGACTCCAGGATCATGCCCTCTGCTGAAGGCAGATGCTCAACTGCTGAGCCACCCAGGTGTCCCTGGCTTGAAATTCTTAATAGTTTTTAAGTGCATTTTTTTAAAAAGATTTTATTTATTCATGAGAGAGACAGAGAGAGAATGGAGGCAGAGACATTGACAGAGGGAGAAGCAGGCTCCTTGCAGGGAGCCCAATGTGGGTCTTGATCCCCAGACCTGGGGATCACGTCCTGAGCCGAAGGCAGATGCTTAATCACTAAGCCACCCAGGTGTCCCTTTAAGTGCATATTAATTTGCACTGAGTCCCACAGAGTCGGTAACTGGTCTTGGATAAAGATCTCAAGACTTGGCCAGTTCATTGAAAGATTTTCAGGGGCCTTGGTTACTTGAATCATTCAGACCAGTTTATCAGCAACTTCTTTATAAAGAGGATGCAGTGTATTGATTATTGTGGAAAATGCATGTGACCCAGAACCAGCCGTCTTACAGGTTCCTCTCATCTCAGTGCTCACGGCCACTTTGGAAGGAGTGTTTCTGGTCCCAGCGTGAGCTGATAAATATGGAATTCAGAGCAAATGAAATTGGACCAAGTTACTATCACTTTTTGAATTGGCCTTATCCCTTGGAGATATTTCTGCTTAACCTAAGAAGGGTCACTTAGAATCTGCGTTCATGATGATATTGGTCTACAGTCTCCCTTTCTCACACTCTGTGACAGATTTTGGTATAAAGGTTATGCCAGTCTTCCTGCAAACTTGGGTGTTTAAATCAGGTGAAGCTGTTTTGTTGGAGGGGAGGGCTGGCTGGGAGGATTCCTGTGCCTCTGTGGACATGTTTATCTTGACACGGAGCCCGTTGCCACCATTGCTCTGTAGTAGGGGCAGGCTGCAGGGCAGCAGGGGTATAGCACAGGCACGTTTTGAGGGCAGTGCAAAGAGCCTGGAGTTCAGGACATTTTAAACGTTGAATGTCTGGGAAAGAACCAAAAAGGGCCAGTGAAGGTAAAGGGAGTGTTTTGTGCTGTCGTGTGTGGTCACCCCTATGTACAGAGTGTGCCAGAACACATGCCTCAGGATGCAGGTTTTTTCCTCCTCTTGTGTTCACGCAGACTCTCTGTGCTTCTAGCACTTGGGCCTGAAGGCGATCTCATGCATGAAACAGAACTTTCATTATAATGTTTAGAACGACAACAAATATTTAAAGGCCAATCTCCTCTCATAGTCTCTCTTTTGACAGTAATTAGGGCTACATTTGGTAACTGAGCTGAAGCGTTAGCTTTTGTGCCCCTAAAAACTAGACTCGTCTTTCTTTCTTTCTTTCTTTCTTTCTTTCTTTCTTTCTTTCTTCTTTCTTTCTTTCTTTCTTTCTTTCTTCTTTCTTTCTTTCTTTCTTTCTTTTTCTTTCTTTCTTTCTTTTCTTTCTTTCTCTTTCTCTCTTTCTCTTCTCTTCTCTTCTCTTCTTCTCTTCTCTTCTCTTCTCTTCTCTTCTCTTCTCTTCTCTTTTCTTTTCTTTTCTTCTCTTTTCATTGTGATCAGCCCCACCATTTAGCATGTTTTGGGGCTGGAGTGGTGCAGAGCTTTGGTCTTTGGAGCAGGAGCCCTGTACTGTCCCGTAGTTGATGCATCTGCTCCCCTGTTGGCATTGCACAGTGACACACGTGATGGGCATTTCAGTGGGTCCTTTCGTGTTCTTTAGGGCTCGGGGGGGAGGTCAGCTGCCCCACTTCTGGCTGCCTACCTTTCTCTGGGCTGCTGGCAGAGAACAGGGGTGCTGGGACCCAGCCCTGCTTGTTGACTGGGCACTGATCCTTCTCGTGTATTTTAGATCCTGGCTGGTCCTGCAGCACAGACTTAGCCCTACGTACCTAGATGCTAAAGAACAATAAAGCAGTCCGGAACAGGGTCCTTTCTTCTGAGTCTTGTGTTTGTTGTTCCCTAGGAAGCTGAAAATACTCTGCGCCTGATGCAGAACAAGCTGAAGGAGGAGGAGAAGCGCCTGCTCAGGAGTGGAAGTAAGGCCACACTCTCAGACAGGGCTGTTTCCTCTGTGCCAGTGTTAGTAGTCCTGAAAGAAATCTGTATGTATATTTTATTTATTTTCAAAAGGCAGTTTTCTCACATGTTCTGTATCCAGTACTCTTTTCGCTCAAGAGCTCAAGAGGTTGGTTCAAATTACATAGTATTTAAAGCACATCTGGTTTTCTTGTCAACTAAAATACTGTTTTCCCATTTCAATGATACTGTTAGTTTGAATTGCATGTAACATATAACCATGAAAGAAAACTGGGTCTTGGGGGTCTGTAGGGTCCTTATTTTAGGGCAGATTGATAGAAAGCAAGTGCCATAGTGCTATGCCCATGAAGGGGTCACTTCCTTAGGGTCCGTCCCCCTACCATCATAGCCATCATGTGGCCCCCAGTAATCATCCAAGATGGTCCAGTGAGACTGTCAGCTGGTGGGGACTGCTGCTTGTGACTGGTTAGCATGCTTCACCCACAAACTTCACCAAGGTGTCAGGTCAGCCTCGGGAGTGACAGCAGTGCATGGTCTTCATGCTGCATTCACGGCCCTGTCTCAGAGTTCTCCTTCTCTTGAAGGGGACGGTATACTTTTTTTATGACGATATACTTTATTCTCCTGTGCTTGAGGACTTCAGGCATGTATATAGGACTTCGGGCATGTATACCCACAGTGGCTCTCTCTGTCTTTGTACTTTTCTCCTCTGTACTTGTCCTATGCCTCTTCTAATCTCAGGAAGCTCTGGAAGGACAGTAAGGACTTCGGGGAGATCCTTTAGGGGCAAGTTTAGGGAATTCCCAGGGCCTCTCTAGCCGAAGCAGCCCCTTACCTTTATGGTTCCAGGTGAGCCAGGAGAGCCTGAAGCAGCCCTAAGTGATAAGCCTGCATGGAATTTATCCCCTCCTGAGAGGCCTGGCGCAGGTAAGAGCCCTGGTTGGTTGACTGCACCCTGCTCTGTCCCCAGACCAGCATGTAAGACTTTCCTCACTGATACTGTTTTATGCTTCTAAACTCACAGTTTAATTTTGTGATCCATAGATTTGGGATCTCTTGAAGGACAAGCATTCATAGGAGCATCTCTGATTTAGCTTTTTTTGGAAAAGTGATTTCCATTTGAAATAAACTGAATGAAGGATAGCACTTAATTAGCTTGGGGTGGGCAAAGAAGTTAGGAAAACATGAAGACTCATTCTCAGTTCTGTTCATCCCAAAGTTCTTAAGATGTTCTGTTTTTCTTTGCTGTGCTATATATGTGGGAGCATTGTTCAGAGAATTGGGATCAGGGGAAGATATATAAAGGAAGACTTTCTGAAAGACTTCTCTGAACAGAAAAACCTAATAGGACATGGACATGATTAAGAGCAAGAATGAGCAAAATTCAGGAGTGATAAGAGATCGAGTGCAACAAATCATTGTTGAAGATCTATTCTGGATGCAAAGGATTCGCTAGTGGACGAGAGACAGGGATCCCTTGCTTTAACCAGTCTGCTTGCCAGTGAGAGGACACAAACACTGAGCAAGCTGAGTGCAGAAGGTGACCCTGGGGTTGGGGAGAAAGTAGAGCAGAGAAAGGATGGAGAGGGTGGGATGGAATTGGATTTTAAATAGGGAGTCAGTGTAGGCTTCGTTTAGGAAGTACTATTTAGGGCAGTCCTGGTGGCGCAGCGGTTTAGCGCTGCCTGCAGCCCAGGGTGTGATCCTGAGACCCGGGATCGAGTCCCACATCGGGCTCCCTGCATGGGGCCTGCTTCTCCCTCTGCCTGTGACTCTGCCTCTCTCTCTCTCTGTATCTCTCATGAATAAATAAATAAAATCTTTAAAAAGAAAAAAAAGGAAGTACTATTTAAGCAAAGCTAAAATAAGTGGATCTGAGGAGAAAGGAGCTACCAGTTGAGGAGAGAGAGACCTGAGAGTCTGTAAGAGAGTGGGGACCAGAGCTCAGTGAGGCAATGAGTTTGGAGGAAGGGACTTGAGGAAGAGAAAGTCTGAATGCTTAGAGACAGGAGAATGCCCTGGGGTTAAAAAGGTCAAGCATTTTGTTCGAGTACCCTGTAATAGAAGTAAGGGCAGCCTTCGACTTCCCACTATCCTTTTAAACCTCACTGCTGGTGGTAAATCCATAAAATGACCCAGAAGTTTCTAGAAAGCACATTAGTAACCTTGCTGTAGTTTAGTTTTTATGGTATGGTGGAGAGTAGATGTTCCTGCATTTAACACTTAATTTACTGCATGCCTACTACATGTCAGGCATTTTGCTGGCACTTAGAACATAGTGATGAGTGAAGTGCTCACGGAGCTCAGAGTCTAGAACTGTGCCACCCAGTAACTGGCCATAAACCATGTGTGACTCTTGAGTACTTCCAATGTGGCTGGTCCAAATTGAGGTGTGTTGATTGTGGAAAATATACAATAGGTTTCAATGACTTAGCATGAAAGAAAGTAAAATTATTCATTAATTAGTATTTTATGTTGTTTACTTATTGGAATGATATTTTGGATATATTGGGTTAAGTAAAATAGCACTAAAATTAATTTACCTATTTCTTTTTACTTTAATATAGTTACTAGACAATTTTAAATTATATATCTGCCAGCTGGTATTACATTTCTTTTGGACTGTGCTGATCTGAAAGGAGACACAAATAGTTAAAGTGGGCGTGAAGTATATCTCATTGTGATTTTGATGTGAATTCCTCTGATAGCTAATGAAATGGAGCATCTTTTCATTGCTTATTGGCCATTTGTATAAATCTTCTTTGGAGAGGTTTATTCAAGTCTTTGGACATTTTTAAGTTGGGTTTTTTTTTATTATTATTATTGAATTGTATGAGTTCTTCTGTATATTCCGGATACTAGATCTTTATGTGATCTGGGATTTGCAAATACTTTCTCTCATTCTCTGGGCCATCTTTTCAGTTTCTTGCTGATGGCTTTGATGGCTTTGGCTGCATAAAGTTTTAATAAAGTCCACACTATCAGTTTTCCTTTTGTTACTTGTTTTTAGTGTCATACCTAAGAAACCACTGCCTAATTTAAGGTCACTAGGATTTATCCCTGGGTTTTCTTCCAGGACTTTTATAGTATAACTCTTACTTAGGTTTCTGATCCATTTTGAGTTAATTTTTACATATGGTGTAGGTAGGCATCCAACCTCATTGTTGGACATGTGGCTATCCAGTTGTCTCAGCACCATTTCTTGGAAAGATTATTCTTTTCTCTTTGAATTTTATGGGCACTCTTGTCTGCCATACTTAATTTTAATGCATCACTGATAACTTGGTGATTTCAGTTACAGCATGCATTAATTTAGTGTATTGGTTTGAATTTTCAGAAGAAATGTTGAGCTTGAGAAACATGTATTGATATTTTAAAATTCATAATACTTGATTTATATCGCATAGGGTAATGATGCAATGTCACAATATTCCTGGATGAAATAAAAAGTGAACAAAGTTTGAATAGTAATTTCATGTTATAGACATTAATTTGTGTTAATATTTCATCATATTCTTTGTATAGGCTTTTGTAAGATGGTAGTTTTCAGATAGGTAGTGTTGAGGTTTGTGCAGGATGCTATTCCCCACACTTGCCCTGACTCCTGGGTTTCCTCCCCAACCCCCACCAAGGGGAAGGGCACAGCTCTTTCTGCAGTGAAGAAAATGGAGAACTTTCCCCTGCTGCCCTGCTAGATGCAACTGCCATTTCATTACCTGTTTACAGCAGAGGCTAAGCAGAGCCTTTTCATAGACGCACAATTACTGTCCTTCCAAACTTACTTCGACTCAGTGATCAGAACAGCAGCTGCAAACACCTCAACTTCCGTCCTTCTAGAACCAGTGTCTCTCCCTGGTTGCAGGAATCTGGCTGGACAGTGAACAGTGAAAGCTTTTTCTCCCCACTGTGGAAACTCTCATTCTAGAGGTTCCCTTGAGGAAATGTCCAACCTGCACAAGACTCCAGGAGAGTATTTAAGAAATGAATGTATAAGGCTGTTGCACTGAGAGTTTTCTCTATTTGCCTGTAATGGAATTCTCTCCCGGAAGCAACATCCTGAGCACCTGTTCTCATTGCTGCTCACTAGGCTGCCATCTTTCTCAGGCCAGCCGTGCTTGGCCATTCCCAGCCTGGTCTGTGTCTTGGCTGCTGTCTTGTTTTGGTGCACTCACCTTCTCAGGGGGCTCTGCTTCCCCATCTCTGTTATCCACAAAGAGTTGGGGTAACAGCACCTAACACGGCACAGAAAATGGTTTTCCCCCCAGCTAACCAAGAATTACCTTGATGGCTGGCTGTTCAATTTTAGTTTCACCTGCCAGAATGTTTCTTTCTTTCTTTTCTTTTCTTTTCTTTTCTTTTCTTTTCTTTTCTTTTTTTTTTTCTTTTCTTTTCTTTCTTTCTTTCTTTCTTTCTTTCTTTTTTTTAAGACTTATGTATTGGGGGTGGGGGTGACTGGGTGACGGGCACTGAGGTGGGCACTTGATGGGATGAGCACTGGGTATTATTCTATATGTTGGCAAATTGAACACCAATAAAAAATAAATTCATAAAAAATATATTCATTCATTCATTCATTCATTCATTCATTTATTTATTCACGAGAGACACACAGATAGGCAGGGACATAGACAGAGGGAGAAGCAGCCTCCCCACAAGGAGCCCAGTGTGGGACTCAATCCCAGACCCCAGGATCATGCCCTGAGCCGAAGGCAGAAGCTCAACCATTGAGCCACCCAGGGGTCCCCAGAATAATGTTTCTTTTTTCTTTTTTTTTAAAGATTTATTTATTTATTCAGAGAGAGTGAAAGAGAGGCAGAGACACAGGCAGAGAGAGAAGCAGGCTCCATGCAGGGAGCCCAACGTGGGACTCCATCCAGGGTCTCCAGGATCACACCCCGGGCTGCAGGCGGCGCTAAACTGCTGCGCCACCGGGGCTGCCCCAGAATAATGTTTCTAATTGATGTATTCTGACCCGTTTTTGTCTTGCTTTGGAAGATTATTTGAAAAAGACAAATAACAACAACAACAACAACAAAAAAAAAACAGTATCTCATTGTCTGCGTTAACTCCTCACTAAATATTTCCAGGCAAATCCCAAGAGTTTCATAGAATCTAATCACCAAAAGAAAGGCTGAGAAGCATTCATTTGGGGAATATGAATAATAGTGAAAGGGAATATAAGGGAAGGGAGAAGAAATGTGTGGGAAATATCAGAAAGGGAGACAGAACATAAAGACTCCTAACTCTGGGAAACGAACTAGGGGTGGTGGAAGGGGAGGAGGGCGGGGGATGGGGGTGAATGGGTGACGGGCACTGAGGGGGACACTTGACGGGATGAGCACTGGGTGTTATTATTCTGTATGTTGGTAAATTGAACACCAATAAAAATTAATTTATTAAAAAAAAAAAAGGCTGAGAAGTACAGATGTTTTTACACAAGAATCCTGTTGCTAGAAGCTGTTTTAGAGGTAATGATGGAGTCGCCCTTGTGTTTTGTGTACTTGTGTTCCTCCAGGTAATGACAACTCAGACATTGACATCCAGGAAGATGATGAATCTGACAGTGAATTGGAGGAGCGGCAGCTGTCCAAGCCTCGGACAGCCATGGAGGTGCTCATCCAAGGTACGCAGCTGCTGTCACTTGCCCTCCTCCCCGTGCCCTGTCACAGAACAGTTTGGGTGACTTCTGCTCCGGAGGTCATCCTGCCCTCCTGTTCATGAGGTTTTGGCTCTTAAACTGCTCAGCGCTCACCTTTGCTGTAATACTCTTACCTGTGGTCCCAGGAAGAGCTGATGCTTCTTTGTGGCCGGGGGTATCTCACAGAGGCCACGGGAGTACACTGCCTCTGCCACTGAGCTGCATTCCGCCCTTCTTGGTCCAGACAGCTCTCAGTGCAGTGACATCCCCTATAATCAGAGAATTAATGCATGCAGGAAGGACTCCCAACCATCTCTGCCTTTTAAAAAATCTTCTAGTTTGTACTTTCTCACTGCTGAAGACTGAAGCAATAAAATCTGTGGAGTAAATGTGGGTGTCCCCCAGGGTTTTCTTCATGTGTCACTTGCTACCCTCTAGGGGTCCTGGTTGGTAGCTGGGGGGTGTGTCTTTCAGATCGCCTTTCCACATATGGACGTGCACACACATACAGCGAAATACACAAAGATCAGCTGATATATTTTGTAACCTAAGTGGAACCAGACTTTGCGTATGGTTCTGCAGCTTGCTTTTTTTTAAAAAAAGTTATTATTAAATATATCAGAACTTCTCCCATGTCAGTAAAATAAAATCCACTTCATTCTTTTTGACAACTGCATAATTTTCCATAGCATGACTGTACCCATAATTTACTTGAGCATTCTCATATTAAAAGATATTTAAAATATATATATTTAAGTTATTTTTTCCTTTTTTCCTGGTATATACATCTTTCTGCTTATCTGCAGTGTTTGTACTATTAAAAATGGAATTCTTAAAGTTTATGTAGATCTTTGTTTTGAGAGACACTACTACATTGCTCTATACTTGCTTTTTTTTAAAATTTTTTTATTATTTATTTATTTATGATAGTCACAGAGAGAAAGAGAGGCAGAGACACAGGCAGAGGGAGAAGCAGGCTCCATGCACCGGGAGCCCGACGTGGAATTCGATCCTGGGTCTCCAGGATCGCGCCCTGGGCCAAAGGCAGGCGCCAAACTGCTGCGCCACCCAGGGATCCCTATACTTGCTTTTAAAAACATCTATGAAAAAAAAATCTATGTACTGGGACGCCTGGGTGGCTCAGCAGTTGAGCATCTGCCTTTGGCTCAGGGCGTGATCCCGAGATCTGGGATCAAGTCCCGCATTGGGCTCCTTGTGGGGAGCCTGCTTCTCCCTCTGCCTGTGTCCCTGCCTCTCTCTCTCTCAGTGTCTCTCACGAATAAATAAATAAAATCTTAAAAAAATAAATAAATGGAAACGTCTATCTATCATCTGTTAATTTTTGGAGCAGTTTGCATTTTTGTATGCATAGTATATTTCAGAGGTAAATTATCTTTGTTTTATATTAAGTTTTGCTATTAACTGATCTTTTTTTGTTGTTTTTAAAACATTTATTTAATTTATAGAGAGTAAGAGCGCACTCGGATGGGATGGAGGGCAGGGAGAGGGAGAGAGAATCTCAAGCAAACTCCACACAGAGTGCGGAGCCCAGTGTGGGTGGGACTCATTCCCATGACCCTGAGATCATGACCTAAGCTGAAATCAAAAGTTGTACGCTCGGCCAGCTGAGCCACTCAGGCACCCCTGTCCTTTTATTTTTTAACAGCTTCATGATATAAATGGAGGTTAGAGGTTATGACTCCCATTGTACAAATGGGAGCTGAGGCTCTGAAAACGTTTGTGATTGGCTCATGAATGCACTGCTGCTCCTAAATTTTACTGCTGAGCACTCAGCCAGCAAAAATAAAAGCTAAAAAGTATAAGGGCTTTAGAAAACACAAGATTTGCATTTAATCTGATCAAGGAAGGTTTCTGTATTAGCTCCTGGTGGTCACCCAGGCCTGTCGTGAGCAAGTTCCTCTCTCAGCTGCCTCACTGCCTTTGCCTCGAGGCGTGAACCTGGGGTCCCGGGGCTCCTTCCTCAGCCTCCAGGTGGGGGTAGAGCTCTCTGCCTCCAGCAGTGAAGGATGGCTCCTAGGTGTTTGCAGCAGTCACAGCTGGGCATCCATGAGTGAAGAATATTTTTAAAGATGAACTAATTGTGATCCTCAAAAGTTTTTCTCTTTGGAGCTCAGACATAGATTCAAACACAGGTAATGTTGGTCTGTGTAGGGAGACTGCCATTTCTTTTTTCAGCAGATAGCAGAGCTGTTCTACCCCATAGATACTCAGAGTGGGATTCAGTGATTTTTCTCACAACATGTGCAGGATGCGTGTTTAGTTTTCTGATTTCTGCACCATGATCATGTTTTATTGCCCTTTTTCTTTTTTTTCAAAGTGGAAATGCAAAAAATCCATTACTTTTCATTGGCAGTTTTGATTATTTGGGTGCTACTTAAGTAAATTTTTTAGTGTGGTTCTTATGTTTTCCCAGTTTTCTAAAGGAAAACAAATCTTGAATGCCTTTCCTTACCTTTTTTTTTTTTAAAAAAATAAGATTTTCATAATTTCTTCATGCTTTGGTTCTCCTCAGGAAGACCTGGCAAGCGCATCGTGGGCACCATGCAGGGTGGAGACTCTGACGACGATGTGAGTCCCAGGCAGTTCCCTTTAGCAGCTCTGTTATTCCCAGTCCCGGGCTGGCCTTGTAGACTCACTGAGCCGACAAGCTGAGTACGAGCTCCTGCCTTGCAGCCCAGCCTGCTGCCGGGTTTGCGCCAGAGTTCGGCCTCCCGAGGAGCTGGACTCTGCTCTGCTTGTTGATGACTCTTTTCTTTTCAAATGAATGTGCTTGCCCTCCCCCCGCTTTTTTCCTTCTCACTGTTCTTTCCATTCTTGCTTTCCAAAGATGGAAGCAGCACCAGCTCTCTTAGGTAAATGCAAGACTTCCAGCTCCAAGAAGCAGGTTGGTTTTCTTTTTCATCGTGTGTGTGTGTGTGTGTGTGTGTGTGTGTGTGTGTGTGTGTATGAGAGAGAGAGGGAGGGAGGGAGGGAGAGAGAGCCAGCTCAGAGCCACTGGAAAGCCTTCCCCAACAGTGATGCCTGTGTGTCCTGGGCAAGAGCCAGGTGCAGAGGATCCACAGTGAACTGCACAGTTGCCTAGAGATGCCCATGCAGGGGAGGAGGGGTGAGCACTGAACCAAGAGACGAGGAAGGTTGTCAGGCCTTGGAGTGTAGCCTGGAAAAGAAGGGAGTCTGCTGAGGGCCCTCTGTTCAGGTCCTCTCTGGGGAGGGAACAGGAAAAGGAGGCTCTCTTGAGATACGGGCCTCAAGAGAGGTAGGACAGGAGGCTGCGACATCAGGCTGCTGGCAACTTGAGCATCCCTGAGGAAATACTGATTGGGAGACTCACCAGAATGGGGCCCTGCTGCTGGGGCTGCCACGTCGGTCACCCTGGGTCTGTCTTCCTTGTGGCGGTCTCCAGCAAGCCTGTGAGGCCCCGGAGGGAAAGGGTGATGGGGCCCACAGACCATAGAGCTCCTCATCAGGTCAGTTACCGCATATGTCTGGAGTGTGGGACTAGTGCCTGCACAGGGACAGAACAGGAGCCTGACCGTCTTGACAAGATCCCTTTATTTAGTGCCAACAGTATATATTGTAACCAAAATCCACGGAGGGAGAGGTCACTCAGGTTTGTTGGCCAAGATGCACAGAGAAGATTGAGCCTTGAAATCACAGAAGGTAGCCTTAGAGAAGCAGAGAAACCATCTCGAACATTTTTTAACAGGGCTGGATGGTTAAGTAGCTTCTGTCCATCAATCTTACACATTCGAGGCAGGACTAAGAAGTCTGGTGGGGGTGCTGGGCATGCCTGGACAGCACCGTCTGGTGCCTCATCCTACCATCTGTTTGGTCATGTGCATAGCTTTCTCTTAGAGCGAATGCCTGAGCCGCAGCTTCCATCTCCCCATGCCTCGTGTTGCTTGTTTGTTTCTGGGAGCTGCCTCCACGCTCTCCCCAGGCACACGGCTTGTCCATCAGGGGCTCACGCATCTCCTTGAAGATACGTCCGGAGTACCTGTTATGTGAGGTGTGGTCACAGATTATGGATAATGCGTAATTAAGCAGATACATTGGGTCATAGTGGCAAGAAGAAAAAGCTGTTCAGGGAACAGAGTGACATGGTTGAAGGGGGTGATTGGTATATTTTGAACCCTCAGGGAATGTCTCTCAGATCAGGTGACAGGCAGAGGCCTGAATGGGAGGAGGGACGTGGTGCAGGGAGGGGCATCTGAGGCACAGGGAATGGGGTTCCTGCATTGGAGGCCTAGAGATGGTGGCATGACTGGGACGGAGTGGGCTGAGGGTAGGAGCAGCAAAAGGCAGCAGGGGCTGTGCAGAACTTTGCAGGACATGATGACCTGGGATTCTCTGTGAGTACCCTGGGAGGGCCCAGAAATCGTGAGCCCAGCAGTGCCCAGAGCTAACGGGTGTTCGAGAGACCCCAGTCAGGTGTTTGCCATAGTCTGGAGGTGCTGGCGGCTCAGCACCACTGAGGTAGTGGCAGCACAGGTGTTAAGTAGTCAGATTCTGGGTGTTTCCAAGGTCAGAACCATGAAGTTTTGTTAATTGGACTTAGGGTATTGGAGAGAGAAACGAGGGATGCGTCACTTGGGTTGTGGTGGGCTAATAGCGTACAGAGAGTTTTTGCATTTCCCCGAGATGGGGCAGGCCTGAGGAGGGCTTGAAGAGCAGAACAGGACTTTGGTTTTGGACTCTCTACACATGCGTTGCCTGCCGGCCATCCACATGCTAGGGTTAAGTAGCCAGTTGGAGTTCAAGTCTGGAATGCAAGGGTCAGGTCTGCGCTGGAGTTGAATTTGGTCAGGTCTGCACTGGAGTTGAAGCCCACCTAAATACAATGGTATTTAGGTGGTCCTCAGGCCACACTGACACAACGTGTGATTGTGTGAGGGTCAGAGTAGGAAGAAGAGAGGAGGCCCAAGGCTCCGAACTAAGCTGTGTTGCAGGGTCAAGGAGATGGAGCATGTGGGGGCAAGACTTTGAAGATGTTGGGGTGAGGTGGGGCGGGCACCAGGAGAGAAGGGTGCACTAGGGCAGAGTGGCTTTCAAGGAAGGAGCTGCCTGTGCTGGATGCAGCTTGGGGGTCACAAGGCACATGGAACTCACCCATTGGGTTTGAATCCATTGAATGTTTGCATCACTATGAGAGCTGGCCTTCACCCTGCTGAGTGTGTTGAGGAGGCAGTGAGAGGGCAACTGGCAGGAGAGTGGGATCAAAACTCCTTCAGGGAGTTTCACTGTTAGAAGGTAGAGGACCAGGGCAGAGCAGCTGGGGAGGAAGGTGGGATTAACTTTGGGGGTTTTGTTTGTTTGTTTGTTTGTTTGTTTAAAGATTTTATGTATCTATTCATGAGAGACAGAGAGAGGCAGAGACACAGGCAGAGGGAGAAGCAGGCCCCATGCAGGGAGCCCAGTGTGGGACTCAATCCCGGGTCTCTAGGATCATGCTGTGACCGAAGGTGGCGCTGAACCGCTGAGCCAACTGGGCTGCCCTGGTTTTGTATTTTTAAGAAGGAAATTGCAGTATGTATATATGCTGGTAGGAATGATCTAGCTAGAATGGCTAGCCATCTTGGTTTACTTGAGACACAGAACTTGCACTTTAAAACCTAGCCGAGTTGGTCTCCCTAGATCTAGGTGATGGAGAGGCTGTTCCTTTTACTTTGCTCCTTATGCCCATTTCCTGTGTGGCTTTCCATCCCCTATCTGATACAATGCAAAAAAACAAACAAAAACACCCAACCGTCCTCTTTGCTGTCCCCTGGTGGATGTCTGGGCCCCAGGGGCAGAGCAGTGGCAGGTGAGCTTTGGTGCAGATCCAGTGGTTTTGCTGAGACCTCCCTGGGAAAGCCAGCCCCGTAGCACCAAGCATGGCTGCACACTGGTGTCCGAAGGTCACTGGTTAGCTGATCCATTTATGATATTTCCGCTGGCAGTATCAGTCATGGGTCCCCTTCTCATGCCCCCACAGCTTGACTGCTGCTCCGCCCAGCTCTCCCTTCACATGAGGACGTTGCTAGTTACTGCTGGTGAACAAGGGTCTCAGTTCACAAGCTGTGGGTATGAGGCAGGTCCTCAGTTGTCTTTGTGGTCTTCCTACAGGAGGACTCTGAGGACAGTGAGATTGACATGGAGGGTGATGAAGAAGACGATGATTTGGAAGATGAGAGTGTTGCTCTCTCACCAGCTAAGCCCAGTCAAAGGGTCCGGAAGCCTGAGCCCCTGGATGAAAGCGACAATGACTTCTGACCTTCTTGCCCAAGGGACCAGATTGATTAAATCCCTCAGATCTATAGGTAAACGGGAATTGGAAGGTTAGGAAGGAAATCTATCTTGTTCACTAAACCAGCTGGACTTGTTAATGAAGCAACAGCTAATTCTTCTCTAGCCTCCTCTGTGCTATTCCACAGAGCTTCACCAAGAACTAAAGCAAGCCCCAAAGAGGATGTGGGTTTTTTGTTTTTGTTTTTTTGCCTTATTTATCTCCTGAAACTTGGGTAATGTGTATGTTCTTAGAGATGCACATGTGTGGGGCACAGACCTGAGGAGAACTAAGAGCACCATCAGGTTTTGATTGTTGTTGGGACATGTTTTCCTCTAAGAGTCGGGGTGAAGGACATGGGCTGGGCACTAGGGCCCGTTTAGAAATTGTGGGGGAGCATTTGACTCCTCCTCACCTGTAGGATTTCGAACATTTACTGTACACTGGCTTTTAATTCTAGCTTTCATTTCGTTGTCTTATTTTCTTCTATATGTTCACAATACCAAGCTTTAACTGTATTTTACTAAAATGTTCTAAATGAAAGTTAGCTAAGTTAAATGAAAACCCACTTTGATTAAAAATCAGGCAACAGAGAGATGCTCCAGAATATAAATACTCATTTTCTTTCAGAAGGGTGACATTCCTCCTTAGGAAAGCAAATTACTGAAGTGTTGGTACACACTTGTGTTTCTGACTCTAAAAAAATGAACCAGGATTGCATTAGGTTGAAGAGCATTAGAATAATTTCCCTGATGTGAAATGAGAAGTGACAGGTGCAGTTGTTTTGTTTTTCTGATATGGAAAACACGGAGCAGTTTTCATTTATTTTTCAGTTATAGAAGTCAGAAGATTTCTGAAGTTATTTAACTCGTAATAAATGTGTTTTATTCCATGTTTTTATGTTATTAAATAAGTTTTACTTTAAAGTGTAATTATATTGTTTATTTGCACCTATAACATAAATACTTAGGAGAAGTTTACCTGTTACTATGGTAGCATATAAATTGTTAGGAGACAATGTGACAATTATTTCTATCATCTTTGCTTTTTTCTCTGTCTTTTCCTAACTTCTACATAGATTACCCTCTTTTTTAAACATTCAGCATTAAGTTAATTCACCAGCGATTGAGATGTGTCATCATTGAAATGAGCTAAAAAGGGAATGGGAGTGTCGGGAGCCATGCCAACCCCCTCAGATGCTGTGGCTTCTGAGGTGCAAGTCACTGTGTCTTCTTGGATGTTCTAGTTTTGGTTTCCCTGAGTCTGACCTGCCTTATATTTTGAAAAACAAAACCAAATCAAAACAAAAAAATGTATTTTTCTTTTCCTCGTGTGATAATTTTCTTTTTTTTTTTTAAGGTTTTATTTATTTATTCATGATAGTCACGCACACAGAGAGAGAGAGGCAGAGACACAGGCAGAGGGAGAAGCAGGCTCCATGCAGGGAGCCCGACTTGGGATTCGATCCCGGGTCTCCAGGATCGCGCTCCGGGCCAAAGGCAGGCACCAAACTGCTGCGCCACCCAGGGATCCTGTGTGATAATTTTCTACTAATGAGCATTAACATGAGAGTGTGGCCCACGCAGCAGGCCACCCCTACACACATACACAGGTGCCCGTGCGATGGGCCATTTATTGTTTCACCTCTTTCTCCATCATCCTTCATCCCTCGATGCTTTAGTTAACTGACTTGGGGCAGTCACTGTGGAATGGCACCTCCTTCCTAGAGCAGCTTCTTTCAACCAAGGAGCTTCAAGAACCTGATCGTAGTTATGAATGTATGTCTGTCACTGTAACAGACCCAACGGTTGAGTGTGCCAAGTGCCGTATGACCTCTTGCCACTGGCTTTGGCCAAGCATCAGAGCCCCAGATAAGACTGTGTGATTAGGTCAGTGAAAAACCAGTATTTAGATCATTTTCGACGGTTGCTGTTGTTTTTAACTATATAATTAAAGGACCTCTTAAAATGCTTTACAACATATATATTGACAGAAAATGTAGAGGAATTTTTCAAGTCCTTAATTTTTATTGGTGGCAGCTGTGAGAACAAAGTCCAGGGACTTCCAATGGGCAGTGTGAGGAACTGTTTCCCTTTTAGCTGGGACAGAAGAAGACCTGCAAGTGCTCTTTCACTAGCGTTGTAAACTATAATATCAGTGTCCGTCATCTGGGAGGACCCACTGCATCCGTATCCTAGCTGTCAGATGGGCCCAGGAGACTCAGGTGCTAGAATCCATGACTGGCAGAATTGGAAAGGAACTAAACGTGCCCAGAGCAGAAGCCCTTGTGATGAGAATGTGACTGGAACAGGAGGACACCGAAGTCAGGAAGGGAGCTCATAACACAAACATGTACCTGATGGGAAACCTGTGTGTCTGAGACACAGTGTTTGACCGTAGACCTCTACCCCTCTGCTGGGCAGTCTGGGAAGAATTAAGCAATAGTGACATAGAAAACTAAGTTTTTAAAAGATGCACTATTCTAAAAAGAACAGGAGAGTGGCTCAGGAGTGATCAATACTAATAAAGGCATAAGATGGAGACTAATGGTTTGAACAAAAATCATGCTCTCTGTTGAGAGGATGGAGAAACAAAAAGTGGGGATGTTAGCTGATGTACATCCAAGGGTCCTTTCCCACTTAGAAGTCAAGAGATAATCTCTAAGATGACAAAACAAGAAATAGTACACGTCAGACATTTAGTTTGGGGAGTAGGGGTATTTGGGAAGGGGAGGGACAAGACAGGAGACTGCTGTTTTCCAATATACACCAAATAATTTTTGGCTTTTTAAACTATGTGTATTACTATGAATGTTATTTTGATGAAATGAAATTCTCAAAAGATAAATATATAGACAGGAAAAGGGTAAGGGCTGGAGACAGGTTTGAGGATTATTTTCCTGTGAGATTCCTTGGGGGAGAACACATGGGATGGAAAGAGAGCCAAGGTTGGGAGCCTGAGAAATGCCTGTGTCTCATGGGCAAAGGCCACAAGGAGCCAGAAAAAGAGACTGGGAAAGTATTTTCTAAAGTGACTGTATTTTAATGATTAGGAAAAAAAAATTTTTTATTTTCCAAAGAGTATTGAAGAGGGGTAACGAGAAGGACTGGAGGTAACGAGAGGACTGTCCAGTGGAGGACTGGACAGTTATGTTATGGAAGCCAAGGCAGAGGAGAATCTCCAAAGAAGGGAAAGATGAGTAAGTCTAAATCCTTGTAAATAAGCTTGAGACAGAGGGCACTGAAATTGTCAGTTAGGAAATCTCCGATGACCTTAGCCAAGAGCAGTCAGATAGCCAGTGAATGTGAAGAGATGTTAGAATTTGAAGTGAACACAGTGAGTGTTGATGAGTGTTCAGATGACTTTTTAGCTGGAGGGAACTAGCATGTGGAATGAGAGCGGTTGAATCTATAAGAGAGAGAATGTGTGTAATTAATTGATGAAGCAAAGGCGTCATTAGGAGTCATTCTGTTTAAATCCATATTGCCTATTGAAAATATGCACACCAGATAACCAGCTGGGCTGGTAAAAGTAAGATGGCTTTGGTTGATGTCATGATCTTTTACACCTGGATTTCTACAGCATCTGGTGTAGATAAGGACCCAAAAGAGACTTGGGCATCAGGTGGAGTAAGTACCCAGAATACTGAGACGATGCCTCAGAAGTTAGGCCACGGTAGCCCTAAGATAAGGATGGCTGTTCTTGGCTAACAAAACTTAAAACGGCAAGCATTGAAAGTATCCAGCTGTTTCTAAGTAATGTGTCCCAGAATAAAGCTCAAGAATTTTAAGGAACATAAAAATAGTCCATACCCAACAAGATAAAATTGCCAATGTCTGGTGTCCAATTAAAAATTATCATAATGAGGGAATCCCTGGGTGGCGCCTGCCTTTGGCCCAGGGCGCGATCCTGGAGACCCGGGATCGAATCCCACATCGGGCTCCCGGTGCATGGAGCCTGCTTCTCCCTCTGCCTGTGTCTCTGCCTCTCTCTCTCTCTCTCTGTGACTATCATAAATAAATAAAAAAAAATTAAAAAAAAATTATCATAATGAGGGATCCCTGGGTGGCGCAGCGGTTTAGCGCCTGCCTTTGGCCCAGGGCGCGATCCTGGAGACCCGGGATCGAATCCCACGTCGGGCTCCCGGTGCATGGAGCCTGCTTCTCCCTCTGCCTGTGTCTCTGCCTCTCTCTCTCTCACTGTGTGCCTATCATAAATAAATAAAAATTAAAAAAAAATTATCATAATGAGAAAAATAAACAGACCCAGAAGTGACCCAGAAATAACAGATGATAGAATTAGTTTTTTAAAAAAGGACATTCAGATAGTTTTTTACTGAGATGATGGAGGGAGGCATGAACATCTTTAAGAGGTGATAAGACATAAATCTCAAAGCTTATAGAGATGAAAGAAATGAGACAAAGACTGTGTGAGCTAGGATTGAGGCCCACAGAAGAGAAGATACCGGCCCTGCAGACACAGCAATAGAAATGGTTCAGAATGAAAAACAAAGAGTCCCACTGGGCTGGCTACTGGTGTGTCGCCTCAGCTCCAGATCACCTTTAGGCCCTCCCTGCGATGGTAGAGCTATTCCTTGTAAACCTCTCTGCTTTGCCAGTGAGCAAGAGGATGGGCTGGTCAGTGGGCTGTCAGGGAGACTTCGGAGAAGGAAGGGATGAGGCTTGTTATACAGGGCCCTGGGGAGCATGATTTTTCTTCACTGCCTTGGCCCTTGAGGTTTTGCTGATGCTGGATTCCAGCAAGACACGGCTTTCTCTAGCATTTGGCAACTGTGACTCTTGTTCTGTCTTGTTCTCAACTGAATCAGACACTGTGCAAATCAGACGGCAGTATGGCAACATCCTGAAAGTACTAAGGGCCAAATACCAGCCTTTAGGTTCTATACCCCGCAAAAAAAAAAATCTTCCAAAAACACAGCAATCCAAATAAATATGACACAAGACCTGCGTTTGGATGTCCCCCATTTCCAAGTACTTTTCTTTATAGCTGATTATTTTTTTCAGTAGAAGATCTAATCAGAGAGCCTGCAGTAGGTGGTTATGTTTCTTTAATCTCCTACAATTTAAAATAGTCCCCAGCCTTTTGTATTTTTCATAACATTGACATTTTTGAAGAGGTTAGGCTGGTTTTTGTTGTTGTTATTTTCCAGAATGCCTCTCTGTTTGGATTTTGTCTGATTGTTCCTTCCTGATAAGATTCAAATCAGTATTTTTGGCATGATGTGTCTTCAGTGCATCACATCAGGGGCACAGCATGCCCAGTTGTCCCATTATCGGTGATGTTAGGTTTAATAACTTTGTTAAGAAAACATTTGTAAAATTGTCCATCTTTTGTAACTATCGCTCGTGGGGTGATATTTTGAGACTTGGTGGTTATCTTCTTCCTCGATAGGCTTTTATCCATGGCTTTAGCATCCATTGAGGATTTTTGCCTGAATCCTCATTTTTGAAGGCACATTTGGAATAAGTGTGCTTCCTGTTCAAACTTTAAAATGGTAATGACTTTATAATCTTTATAAGCATTTTCCTTGGTTATTTAGTTGATGAGAACTGTGGTGTCCTTTGGGGTCTTTTTCCCTTCATCCCAGACACACACCTGAGGCAACTTGGACCACATGGAAGCTCAGCTTACTGGCCTTCACGGAGAAGCTGCAGGCACAGTCATGGTTTTGGAAGCCCAGTATTGGATAACATTAAGGCATCAGCGTTTAATGTGCCGTTGATAACCAGCATGCCAGATCCCCCATAATGTATGCCAGACATAATCCATGCCATTGAGAGATTTCGTAATGGATAAAGGTGGCAAGAACCTTGGAGAACCTCTTTTTGTCTTTGTCTCCAGAATCCTGTAATTAAAGCCTTTATTTCTCTTCAAAAATTATCAATTTTTCCATGTGTTTCTAATGATCATAGACCTAAAAATGTTCTAGTCTTCTTGAGAAAAGAGCGGTCCCTCTGTCACCGATGCCAAGTTGATAACCTATATAGGCTTGAAGATGGAAGCTCCTTTCAGAGTGGGGAGGAGTGATTTTAACAAGTGGAGAAGGGAAATAATAATAAAAGAGGCACATGAAGACCTCAGGGTATAAATAAGCTTGTACCAGCTTCTTACCTGTTGAGCTTTAAAGCTTGTGTCCTTGGTGGGGACATCCCTTCTCTGCACCAGAGCAGAGAATCCATCTCACCCCTGCTTGGACTGACCTGGGACTGAGAGAGTTGCTCGTGACCTCTTTGGCAGCACCTTTCCTGCCTCCTTGCAGGAGACAGCTATTGTGTGGGTCAACATCATTCCCAGACCACAGGAAGGAACCCTGGAAAATTGTCTTTCCATTCAAAAGCTTCCAGCTGTTGGTCTGCCTGTCGTCCTGCCAGGTCCACCAGGAACTTGTTTTGCTCACATCTCAACAGTGCATGAAGGAGCATTTGTCTTGATAACCTCTGAGATCATCCTGGCACCAGATTCCCCAATGTGATTTCCCTGGAGACTAGAAGAGAAACATTAGGACAGGGCTTGAGAGATGGGCTCGAGGCCCAGGGGCCTGCAGGTTCTCGTTAGTAAAGAGCACGAAATGCAGAGCTCCAGCCAACACCTTCATGCTTCCAGGGTCCCTCCCATGGACAGGGCCAGAATGACTCCTCTTTATACTGAGTTTCGCTGCAGAACTGCTGGAAGACCCAGGAGCCCGCTGAGAATCGGGCAGAAGGCAGAGCCTGACCTGGGCGCCGCTCCAAGGGAGCAAGAATGGCAGGAAAGGGCAGATGCCGCCGAGCCCCACTCACTTGATGTGCTGGAGGCCATGGTTTCCAGACAGTGCAGTGGCGACACATATCGCCCCATCCATCCCCAAGGAATTTTCTTGAAGACTAGGCAGAGAAAAGATGGAGACACCACCTTGAGCCACTCAGGACAGAACACGCCCCAGAAAGCTGTGCCACATTATCTTGGGGGGCAGTGGAAGAAAGACAGTTCTGGGCCTGATTTGTCCATTAGCGTCCTAGCAACAGCACGGGGGCATTTACCCCTGAGGCCAGTGTCTACAAGTAGCCAGATGGTCTCGTCTAAGTGCCATGGAAGACGTAAGACCAAAAATGCAGGCATTAAGTGACTTAGCTATGACATAAGCTAGACAGAATGAATGCATCCATCTGCAAGAGGGACTCTAGTAGTCAAAGCTCTCGCTATTCGGAAGGAAGCAGCTACAGAGGACCCCAAGAGCCGCTCATCTCGAGGGGGAGGTTCCAGCAGAGAAGTCTGCAGCTCTGGGCGCAGGTGGGTCTCTACAGCCACTCACTTGAGTTTTCGGAGACTTGAGTTCACCTTCAGGGCATTTGCCAAGGCTTTGGCTCCAGCCACCCCGATGGCATTTCCTCGTAAGCTGTCAGGAGAGATAGGAACCCTAAGGCACAGTGACCGCTGTGGGATGAAAACCATACCTCTTCAGACGAGCCGGGGCTACTGGGTAGAGGAAGCATGGACTCAGCCACCATGGAGGTGAGGTGGTTCCTTCCTCGCTCCAGGCACAGAACAGAGATCGGCTCTGGGGAGCAGGACACGCGTGGAGGGGTGAAGCTGGCCAACCTGGGTGGTTTATGGGAGCCCTCACCCTCCTCCATCCCCAAGGACGGAGAGCAGGGCTGAGACAAGAGGCAGCATTGCAGCCAGTGGTCCCCGCGTGCTCAGCATCAGGAGCAGAAATGACTGGCACGTGCCAGAGAGCCGCATCCAGGGTAACCCCCACCCCCAGGACCTTGGATCCTCTCATAGAGCGAGCTCCATGGCCAGGGACCCCTATGCGGGAACCTCGGGACGTGCGCCGCCTGGCAAGGCGAGAACGGGTACCTAGGGGGAGGAGGCCCGACAGTAGGGGCTCGTAGGGAGGAGGTATGGTGTGGGAATGGGGAAGCTGCGGCCTGCTTGACCTGAAGGACGGTGTTTGAATGATCTGTGAGTTTCCACGTAAATTGACAGTTCTTTTCTTCCATATCTTCATTCTGAATCAACAGCGTGGTTTCTTGGGGCAACAGACCAGAGCCAGAGACGGGGACACTTACTCAAGAATCTCCAAGGTTCCATTCACGGCCAGGGCGTCCCCTAGCGCCTGGGCGCCCCGGGCCCCGATAGAGGCCACCTGCAAGCTGTGGGAGAGGTGCAGTCAGCGCGGGCAGGCAGGGCCCCTGCAGCCTGCACCTGCCCTGCACCGCCTAGGACGGGAGCTGCCGCTGCGGGTCCAGGAGGGACACGGGGGCTCCTGGAGAGTTTGAGGGAGAACGCTCCCCGAGCCCCTACTTCCTGCTTTCCAGATGCTCGAGGTCCCACTTGCTAACACTCGGAAAACGAAACACACCTTCCTTGGATGGAAAGCAAAACCGACGGGAGGGCGTGAGAGCCGGGCACAGGGCTGGCTCCCAGGCAGCGTGCGCGTTAGCACTTACTAGAGAGCAGTGAGGGTCGCGTTGGTCTTGAGCGCGCTGGCCACTGCAGACGCACCCTCATCCCCGATGGCGTTCTCCTGTAAACTGAACACAGAGCGTGGCCCTGGGCTCACGGGGCACGGGGTTGGCAGTCCAGTAGGACTTGCTGAGCTGGGCCCTTCTAGATTTAATTCAGACGCAAACAGAGGGACAATGGAAAAGGGACTAAGGATGTGCTGGCCAGAGAAGTAAGTCAAAGCCCTCCACCGGGCCGTTCTTGCCGGTCAGTGTTTTACATCTTTTTTTCCCCTCCCTTCCCTTCCACATGAGTAAAGTGCTAGGTACGAGAGCAGTCAGTGGTTAAGAGTTTAGTTAGGGTAGGCACCCGTGTGTTCAGGGGAGCACTTTGCGTTAAAAATTCTGACAGACATTTGAGTGTGTGTTGTGTCCACAGAGCTGTACAGGCTGAGGTCTGTCTCGGGTGAGGAGTTGTGATTGAATGAGCAGACCCCAGAGGCCATGTGCCAACTGCTCACAGAAGCTGCCGGAAGAACTAGGTCTAAACTGAAACCTGAAGGATGAGAGATGGGGGAGGGGGCTTGGCACCTCCGCACGAAACCCAAAGAAACTGAGTCGAGTCGCCACCTCGTGGAATGAGGCTGAGGAGGTACACAGGAAGCAGATTGGGGTGTTCTTTGGAAGCCATGTTAAGGGTTGGCCTTCACTCTGCAGGCACTGGGCAGCATTTAAGCATTTCACCCAGGACAGGGACAGATTTACATTTGGGAAAGCTCTTTGGCCAGCTGTGTGAGAAGATGGACTGGATGTGGAGGTGCCCCTGCAGTGACGCAGGTGAGTGATGCTGCTGGCCTGCTGGTGGCTGTGGGGGCAAAGGGAAATGGTGGAATGTAGGGAGGACAGCCACAGGTGGGAAGCAAGAGCAGAGGTGGTGTTTCTAGCTCACACGACTGGCTGGTCCTGTTCACGAGGTGGCGCCAGAGAAGCAGGCTCATGGGCAGGTGGTTTGGGCAGTTTGAAGTTCCTGTGAGGCGCCCTAGGGGAGATGCTGAGTGGGTAGTGGTGACACAGGTCTGGAGCTCAGGAGAGACATCTGGGGGATAGACGTGGGGGCACCAGAGCTTTTTGAAGGCAAGGAGCCTGGGAGCAGAGAACTTCTGGAAAAGAGGTCATTCAAGAGAAGATGGCCTAGGACAGAACCGTAGGGAGCACCAGGATGTCAAACACAAGAACCAGCCAGAAGTGAGACACCCTGGTCAGAAGCCAGTGAGGCTCAAAGGGTTAAACACAGAGTTAGCCCTCGACCCAGCAGTTCCACTCATGGTGTGTAGCCACGAGAAATGAAGGCTCGTGAAGGCTCACAGCAGTGTCATGAGAGCCAGACAGTGGGAACAACCCAGTGTCCATCAGTGGACAGTGTGGTCTATGCACACACTGGACTAGGATTCAGCCATAGAAAGGAATGAAGCTCTGATTCATGCCACCACCCGGGTGACCCTTAAAGACATGACACTAAATGAAAGATGTTGGTTGCAAAGCCTGCAGACAGTATGAGTCCATGTATGTAAGACATCCAGCGTGGGTGACTCCATAGAGACAGAGCACATGTGTGCTGGCCACAGCTGGGGTTGGGGGCAGTGGGGAGTGACTGCTAATGAGTCTGGGGTGATGGAAATGCTGTCAAGTTGATTGTGGTGATGGTTGCACAGCTCAGTGGATGTACTAGAAACCAGTCAGTTTTGTACTTTATATGGGTAAATTATTGTGGTGCCTGGATTATGCTTCAGTAAAGCTATTAAAGCAGAAAAATGCCTGCTGGCCTTAGGGCAGAGGAGGCCATGTGCCTGGTGGACACCAAGGTTTCAGGAGTCCTTGCTCCCCTGACCCTCCTGCAGCCCCTGCCGAGGCCCCACTTACTCGAGGCTGGTCAAGCTTCTGTTGAGCTGTAGTGCTTGTCCCAGGGCCTTGGCAGCACCAGCCTGGATGAAGTTCCACTGCAGGCTGGACAGAAACAAACACACGTGAGCCCAGGGTGGAGCCCTGCATGTTCTGGAGGGTCCGGAAAGAGGGGACTCTCCCAGGAGAATCTGTAGGCAGGGCAGGGGTCCTTGCGGGATGAGGTCCTCGCCACTGATAGGCTGAACTCCTGGAGCCCACCTCAGGTTTGGTTGAAGAGGGTGAATGAGCACTCTGCTTAAGGGTGGACACAGGAACAGGCTCCAATAGAAACCCCAGATGGCCCCTGTGTGAAGCTTGTGACACTCGGAGGTATGGCATGGGTACCCACCTCCCTATAGGCCTCTGTGCATCTGCCCCAGGAGGCAGAGCAGGACGTAGTGCGCAGCCTACTGGGGGGCCCCAAAGCTGGCCTCGTTCTCCTGGGGAGCTGGTACGATGGCCCTACAGCCCCACAGAGGGGACGGGACGGGATGGGCTGGGGCTGCCGCAGACTCACTGAAGTGACGTGAGGGCCTGGTTTTCTCTCATTGCCACCGCGATGGCCTGGGCGCCCTGGTCGTGGAGGAGGTTGGCTGTCAGGCTGGGAGGAGGGGAACACGGTGAGTAAGCAGGAGCTAGCTGGCCACAGAGGCCCCATGCTTGCTCAGCCGGGAATCCAGGTCCCCTCCTCCCTGAGGACCACCCAGCTCACGTTGGGGGAGCCTGTGTGTGCGAAGCCCGTGCCTGAGGCTGTTGTACTGAACCCTGACAGCCGCACGGAGAGGGGACCTGGATTCAGCTTAGTGAGTTCCCAGGACAGATCACCCCGTGGGAGCCCACTCCTGGTCCCTGTACTGCGCTGCCCCTGACCTGGGCCCTCCCACGTCGCCCTGGGGAGGTGGCTGGGGGAGGGGGCAGCAGGTAACTGAGCACGTGGGGGTGGTGGGGTCGCCACCAGCAGCCAGGCCTCCGGGCAGCGCTCCCCAAGCAGGCCCTTCCCAGCCTGTAGAGCCGCCCTCTGCCCTCCACTCCCCAGGGCACCAGGTAGGCGAGGGAGGTGCAGCCTGCACCCAACTCACGTACTCCAAGTTCTTTAGGGTGCTGTTGCTGCGGAGAGCTCGTGCCAGCTCCCGGGCTCCCTCCGGGCTGATAGAGTTTTCTCGAAGACTGGGGAGAGAGAAGACCCTGACCGGGTGTGTGAGGGCTCGGGGCGGGGGGAGAAGGGGGAGACAGGCCCCGGCACTCCGGCCTTTGGAGACAAAGGAACCTCAGGCAGGACCTGGGCCTCCTGAGCCATCAGGGCTGAGGTAGAAGAGCCTCCAGCAAGCCAGGCTCCCACTGCTAGCTCTCCAGGTGTCTCCCCTGGAGGTCCACCCACAGGGGACCCGGCAGGAGGAAGGGGCTCAGGTGACAGGCCGTCAGAGGTGAGGGGCCTGGGGCCAGGCTCAGCTGCCTCAGGGGCTGGTTTGCTGGAAGGGAGCAGCAGAACTGGCCAGCTGAGGCCCCAGGTGCCCCTGTGCCCCCCCCCAGCCCTCCCTGAGAGAGCAGGAAGTGTGCAGGATGCCAGGCTCCAGAAAAGCCCAACCACAGATCGCTACAGAACAGGCCCGCAGTGGGAGGTGTGGGCTTTCCTTCCGTCCCAAAGTCCCCCTTGGCCAAAGGGACACTGACTGGAGAGGGAAGCCAGGACTTACTTGAGGCTGGTGAGGGCCTGGTTGGCACAGAGGGCCCCTGTCAGGGCTGCCACTCCTGCGTCGCTGATGGAATTGCTCTGCAGGCTGCAAACGGGACAAGATGACGGGACGTGCTTGGCATGGCCATCCCGACCCGCAGGGAGCTGCTGCTCCGGCGTCAGGTGCAGCAGAGCTGGGGGACTCTGGCCGTAGGTGTCACCCCACGCTGCCCTTCTCCTCATCCCTCTTTCCTGTCCCTGCCCCCGTGTTCCAGATGCCCTAGGTCCGCGCAGGTGGGTCTAGTACATCAGCCTCACAGCTTAGCCTCTGCCTTATGTGAGTGGCTCCAAATACCCGGGGTAGGAGTGTGTGTTGTGTCTGCAGCCCCAGAGAGCAGCACCGCTGCGTCTCCCCGGTGTGGGGGCAGCATCGCGCTCCCCCAGCCCCCACCAAGGCCGCCACGGCCGACATCCTTTTCAGTCACCCGTGCCAGCTTTTCAAGGGCACTCGGTGTTTGTCACTCTGAAAACTCTACAGTCAACACCAACCTCCACTGTCTAGGGAAATGGAGCCGGTGGGGCGGGATGGGACGGTGGGGTGGGCGTGGGACAGGTCACAGTATGCCCCAGGCTGCTGCGGTTGGGTTCTGGCGAAGTAGTGGTCCTGACAACCCTCCTCCGGGACCCGCCCACTTCTAGGTGGGGAAACCAGGGGAGTCACCCTCTGCCCACGGCCACTCCTGGAGGGCAGTCAGGCAGACTCACTCCAGACTCTCCAGGCCCTGGTTCACCCTCAGGGCCTTAGCCAGGGCCTCAGCACCTCCGTCACCGATGCTGTTACTGGAAAATCTGCAAGAGATGGGACCAGGGTGAGTCGGTTTTCGGGAGCAGCCTGGCAGGGTGGGGCCCAGGGACCAGGGTGTGGGGCCGTGCTTGCTCTGTGGTGGTAAGGGTGCCCAGTGCACAGCTTGTTTCAGCTTGGGTCTGTGGCTCGCACGTAGCCTCTGCAAGTGACTCCTTATGGCCTGTATACGTCAAGGTAGCAAAGTACTTGACTCCCTAGCAGGGGCAGGGCCAACCCTCTAGTGGGAGGTTTTGTGATACTTTATGTGAAGATGGCCAGGCAGTGCTGGGAAGGCAGTAAGTTTAAGTCTGAGACAGGCCCAATCCTGGGAAGCTGGAGTCCAAAGTCAGCTATCTTGCACCCACACATCTGTCCATCTGTCAATCCATCCATTCATCCTTATGCTCACAAATATTTGTGATGGGCTGGGCATTGTACAGTCAGTGAGGATACATATTCGGCCCTTCTGCATTTCTCACATGAGCTCCTTCAGACTCCTGTTCTGTTTCAGGGTCTCCGCCATCAGCTGGGCTCCCACAGGCCCGACGGTATTCTTCTGTAGGCTATGGGAGAGAAGGGTCTTTCAGCAAAGCCAGCCATAGCCATTCCCACTGCAGGGATGGTCCGGTTCGAGGGGAGTGCTCAGAGTGCTCGAATGCCCCCTCCATCTATCACAGCATCGGCAGACAGGTCTCTAGGAAAGATCTGTGGCTTGGTGATGCCAGCAGACTGACATCATTCCATGGGGGTGTCAGAGGCAAGGACAGCTGGGCCCTCCCTTGTCAGAAGCTGGAAAGCAGTGACCAGAGAACGCACAATATCCAGCAAGCTCTCGAGTGGCGACTCCTGCACGTGAGTCCTGCCGACTCCTCACTCAGGCAACCCTCTCAACACCCAACCATCTACCTCTTGACCAGCCAGCGGCCTGCCTTCCAGCCCTGCAGTCCTCCGAAGGCCAACCCTCCGTTTAGGCCCTCTTGCAACAGCTACTTCCCTTTATACCAAATCTGGAGGACGGAAATGTTCCCACAAGCCCCAGGTTAATCCTAGGAGGACAGACAAGGCCCGACCTGTGTTGTGTGAGGAGAAATAGGATGTAAACAGAAGGGAATTTCGTTAGGTTCCAAAGGGGACCTTTCCCTGACAGCGTTTCCCTTAGAGCGTTTCTTTGAGAAAATTTGCAATGGTAAAGCTGTCCCTTAGAGGAGTAAGTCTTTTTAAAAGCTAAATAAACCTCTTGTCAACCTCAGATTGACAGCCTGTAGGAGTCTTGGAGCCATCTCTCTCAAATGTACACATCAAGAAAGACAGCACGACTCCACTTTGTAAATGCCTGCTTGTCATATAGATAGGAGAAGTTTGGTTTTTCCTTTGGATAAAGGCAGTTAGTAAACAGATGGCTACCCCAGCTACCAGGCAAATTTAGGAAAAGCTATGTGCAACAAATGGTGCTGTCCAGTCCTCTGGAGCACAGATTATCTCAAGAACACACATATCATAGGTTGTGTCTGCTTGGCTGTAGAAAAGGGTGAGATTTCCTTGTCTTTGCCAACTCGTTGGTGGATTGCCAATGACGTGCGTGCACTGCTCTCTAGTTGATTATTCAAATAATTAAACTGTTTCATTCTTTACTACATTTGTGGAGAGGATTTTCTGCATTGGCAGGAAGCTTTAGTTTTGGTCGTTTTCCAGCACCTGTTCTGTGGAAAAGTGGTGGACATCAAGATTTCCAGGGGCCAACCAGAGGGGTCAGAAAGCCTCAGGATATCTCCCCAGTCATCCTTCCTTGCAGAAATCAGAGAGGCTCTTGGAGGAGGAGAGGAGAGGAGAAGAGAGGGTCTCTCTGCTGGTCAGCATGTCCACTTACTGCAGCACAGAGAGGGTCCGGTTGGTAGCCAACGCCTCAGCCATGGACCTGGCACCATTATCCCTGATCTCGTTGCTCTGGAGGCTGTGGAGGAGGCGCGAAGATGTGTGTCACCGATGGTGCACATGAGGGTGCCCTCTGGTGGTGGCCTTCACCCTTGCTGCAGTGTTAGCGAGATCCAAGGGAAGAGGCAGGGGGTGGCGGAGCAGCTGACTGCTCTCTGTCCTTACTGCCCACCACAAAAGGATCTGGGGACAGCCCCGTCTTCCCAGTGCTGCTCTGGCCTTAGGATTCCCTCTGGGTCTCTAAGCATTTGTCTCTTGACTGGAAACAAGGTGCCCATGATATCGGGATAACAACTAGTTTATCAGTGGTCGGAATTACAACCAAAAGCCACAGCATCCATGTGTTGACAAGGATGTAGAAAAATTGGAACCCTCACCCACTGCTGGTGGGAATGTAAAGTGGGGCAGACTTTGTGGAAAGCAGTCCGGCAGTTCTCAAAAGGTCAGAGTTACCGTATGACACAGTAAATTCTACTGGTAGGCGTCTACTCCAAAGAATTAAGTATTCAAATGCTTGTACGTGAATGTGTGCAGAAGCATTATTCACAAGAGCCAAAAGGTGGAAACAACCCAAATGTCCCTCAACTGATGAATGGATGAACTGTGGTCTGTCCAGTGAAGTATGACTCAGTCATAGATCGGGATGAAGCACCAGCTACCATGTGGATGAACCTTGAAAACACAATGCTCAGTGAGAGAAGCCAGATACAGAGGGTTGTGTTGTAGGATTCTGTGTGTGTGTGTGTGTGTGTGTGTGTGTGTGCGCACGCGCGTGTGTGTGAAATCTGCAGAGTAGGTAAACCTAGAGACAGAGAGCCCCGACCCTGCTAGCTGCCAGGGACTGGGAGGGACAGGAGAAAGGGGAGTGATTGCTAATGGATACAGGATCTGCTGTCAGGGTGATGGAAATATTTTGGAACCTGATAGAGGTGATGAATGAACAACTGTGAATGTGCTAAGTGCCATTGCAATGTATACTTTAAAATGGTGAATTTGGGATCCCTGGGTGGCGCACATCGGGCTTCCGGTGCATGGAGCCTGCTTCTCCCTCTGCCTGTGTCTCTGCCTCTCTCTCTCTCTGTGACTATCATAAATAAATAAAAAATTATAAAAAATGGTGAATTTTACCCCAATAAAAATAAATAAATGAAAAAAACAAATGACAGTAACACACTCAACTAAGGACGGATACAACCACAGGCCCCTAAGAGGAAGATAGCAAACCACAGCAAACCATAGGAATATTCTGGAAGATGGGCCCTTCAATGTCCTGGGAAACACCTCAGGGGAATATTCTGACACCATGGTCTTGGGGATTTCCCACTCAATGGAGGACAAGAGGTTTTCCTTATGGATTATTTTACTTTTCCACTTCTGTACCACCCCACCTTCCTTCTTTTCCACCCCCTGATTAGGCTGTAAACACAAGAACAATGACTGTGGAAGAGCTGAAACCTGAAACTTGTGTAGGTTACAAGATCATGTGGTATCCACCCAGGTGGGAGCCAGTGTAGGATGCCTGCCATTTTGAATCATCTCCCATTCCATGGTTGGCACCTGGGAGGGGGTTTTCTGGGTCCTCTACTGGTTACGTCGGGACAGGGAGCAGATGGTACATACCTCAGAAAGGCCAGAGTGCGGTTAATCTTCAGAGCATCTGCCAGAGCCTTGGCCCCTTGAGGTCCAATGGAGTTGCTGCGGAGGCTGGTGGAAGGAAGAGAAATAACTGGTTTTTGTTTTGTTTTTAATCCAATTCCCAGGGACAGAAAAACAAAAACAGAAGTTACTTGACCTTTATTTTTTTTTTTAACTTTATTTATGATAGTCACAGAGAGAGAGAGAGAGAGGCAGAGACACAGGCAGAGGGAGAAGCAGGCTCCATGCACCGGGAGCCCGACGTGGGATTCGATCCCGGGTCTCCAGGATCGCGCCCTGGGCCAAAGGCAGGCGCCAAACCGCTGCGCCACCCAGGGATCCCGTTACTTGACCTTTAAATCTATGTTCCTTGAAAATAACATATTGGGCTTTAGGATTTCATGTTTTGCAGAGAAATCCTAATTTAGGTGAACAAGTAAGGACTTTCCCAGTATGGCCCATTTGGTGGGGAGGAGAAAGCAGGATCTGATGGACTTGGCTTGGACCAGGTGTGGAGGGGGGAGAGAAGAATACTATCTTCAGGGCTGAAATTCTGATGCCTCCCTGAGCTGGTCCTAACAGCTGAGGAGCCAGGATTTTGCTCACTTGACTGTCTTTCCAACCCACCCAGGGGAGAGTGTGGTCTATGGGACTTCACGAGATGGCTCGCAAACTGTCCCTGACCCAAGGGTGGAAGGTTGGCCTTTGGTGTCCTACTTACTCCAGAGCAGTCAGACTTCTGTTGACCAGGAGGGATCTGGCCAGAGCTTTGGCACCTTTATTACTGATCTGGTTCTCAGCCAAGCTGCACAAGGAGGAGAGAGGAGTGGTTATTTTAGGTCCATAAGTCTCATGGCCTCTTCCTCAACACCAGTCTTGTGATCCAAACCTCTCAGTTTCACTAGCATCATGAAAGCCTGGATGCAGGTGGAGATGAGGTGGTCCCTGGAGTGAGAATGACCAGCGCAGGAAAGCCTCTGAGCCAGGTAAGGTAAGGCCAGAGAAAGGGGACAGACCCTCACACTGGCAAAGAGTCCCAGGGCAGAGTTGGGCCAGAATCTGGCACAGCAGCTTCTACACAGACAGTGCAGCAGGGAGCATAGGCAGTTACAGAAGTTGCCCACATAGATCCCATGCAGCGGTGTGCTGCCAAAAACAAAATACAAAAACACTGATGTGTAGCATTGGCCAATTTCCATGGTGTAAATATTCCCACCTCAGCCAATTTTTTTAAACATTTTATTTATTCATGAGACACACATACAGAGGCAGAGACACACGCAGAGGGAGAAGAAGGCACCCTGTGGGGAGCCCGATGTGGGACTCGACCCCAGGATCACAACCTGAGCTGAAGGCAGATGCTCAACCACTGAGCCACCCAGGCGCCCCTACCCAGGACTTTTTTTTTTTTTTAAGATTCTATTTATTTATTCATGAGAAACACAGAGAGAGAGGGAGGCAGAGACACAGGTAGAAGGAGAAGCAGGCTCCATGCAGGGAGCCTGATGTGGGACTCGATCCTGGGTCTCCAGGATCATGCCCTGGGCCGAAGGCAGCGCTGAACCACTGAGCCAACCAGGCTGCCCTACCCAAGACTTTTATAGTGTTTTATGAGTAATACCTCACGAGCCATGTGTGTATCCTGAAGGGTGCCTTGGACATTTCAAATGGGGATGTGGCCCCAAAGACCAACTATAGGGAGGTGAAGAAGGGCATGTGGCCATAGAAGAAATTTTTGACTTCTATTCCAAAAATTTCCTGAGCACTCTTCAGACTCCTTCATGCAAAAACACTGGAAGTTGACTATTTTGCTGAAGACTTCCCATGAAGGAAAAAATAATGAAAAGTTGTCATTACTGTGTTTTCTCCAAAGGGGTTGCATTCATATCTCCGGCTAACGAGACAGAGATAATGCTGCTCATAATGGCTGGCCCTTCCTTGTACAGTCCTTCCTCTGTGTCTGGCCTGTCCTCACACTTCCCTTGCACTGACCTGCTGAAGCTGCTTGACAACCCAAAGAGGTTGTTAGTGTGCAGGAGAGGGTTATTAATCTTGCCCCAGTTCCTGAAAGTTGACCTCTGCTTACCTGGGAGCCTTAGGCGCTCCCCAGTAGCAGCTTGACCTCTGGAAGGGCTTCCCTAGGGGCAGTCAGGTATATCTCCATGCCCAACCTCCGATCACAACTGCACACAAGCCTGGGGAGCCTCTCTGGTGGGAGAGCTTCGTGTGTGCTGTCACACAGGGTCACTGGGAGAGGGAGGCACCGTCTATACGACTGCCCTGGGAAGACAACTGGGAGCTTGCCTGCTCTCCCGGGGACCACCCCACGCATCTTCTCTCTTTGCGGATTTCCATCTGATCCTTTTGATGTAATGAACCACAGCTGCAGTACAATGGCTTTTCTGAGTTCTGTGAGTCCTTCTAGAGAATCATTGAACCTGAGGAAGGGTCGTGGGAAACCCCTGGACCCACAGACCCTGTTTTAACCCCATTTTAACCTTCTTTCGGCACACAGGTAACTGTCCAGGGCCACACAGGGCCCACGGCTCTCACCGCTGTCCTCGATGACTTCTAGTTGTGCCTGACTCATTCCATGTTTGTTTTTGTTTTTTCAGGCAAAGATTATTTCGGAACCCGGAGGGAGGCTTACGTGAGGATGAAGAATTCCTCCCTAGATCCTATGCTCCAACTCATCTCCCTAGTTCTAGCCACCTCCAGGTCACATCATTTCGGCTCCAAACCGGGTATTAGACTCAGAAACGTTATCATAGGAAGAAATTTCCTAAGCACAAAAATCTCTTCTGCCATCAGCATATAGACTTTCGTCTAATTATAACATTAAAGATGCAATGTTTAAATTGTATTTTTGTACTCATTTAAAAGTTTAAATTCATTTTTTTAATTAAAAATGTTAACATTAAAGAAGCAGTCCTGGGATCCCTGGGTGGTGCAGCGGTTTAGCGCCTGCCTTTGGCCCAGGGCGCGATCCTGGAGACCGGGATCGAATCCCACGTCGGGCTCCCGGTGCATGGAGCCTGCTTCTCCCTCTGCCTATGTCTCTGCCTCTCTCTCTCTCTCTCACTGTGTGCCTATCATAAATAAATAAATTAAAAATAAAAAAAAAGAAGCAATCCTATGCCTATGATACTGTTTTGAGGGCAAACTTTGAGAGGTGCGCAGAGAAGACTGGGCCTGGCACCACGTTGGAGCACACAGTATTCAGAGAAATGCCTCCATGTCCGTGATAGCATCTGACCCTCACCCTATCCTTTCCCTCCTCTCACAGTTGAGGTACCTGAGCCTCTGAACTTTCTGGAATGGGCAGAAATAGGCAGCATGCATCCTGAGCCACAGCCTTCAAAGGCACCTCTCCTTGAAAGCACTCCTGGCCAGTTGAGCAGAGAGGAGGATGGGAAAGCAGCCCCAGACCCTGTGTGAGAGCGGGCACCCTGGATGGGGTCTCCTGAGTCAGCGTTACCTGATCTTCTGAATGCGACAGTCCTTCCCACTCAGCACACTGCCCAGCAGCTCCATCACGGGGTCCTGAAACTGGTTGTTGTCCAGCCTGCAGGAGGAAGAGCGATGATGAGCAGGTAATAGGGCCCGTGGGCAGGTGGGGTGAGGTGCTGGTGCAGGGCTGGCGTCAGGACCACAGAGGCACCCAGGCCAACATTTCCATCACGCTGCAGCCTCTGTCATGCAGCTCAGGGGTCCGTGCCAGCACCCCCACCATGCTCAGAGTTTTCCTGTGAGGGTGGACTGGGAGGCTCAGTGTTGTGAGTTCCAGGATTCCTATTCAGGGGGTGTCTTCCCAGCAGCCCCGCACGCCATGCAAGTCTGGGGAACATGGGTTGCTAGTTCTCCTCCTCTTGAGGACATGGCACCTGCTCCCAGGTCTGAAATGGCCCTGGTCTTACAGCCTTCCTAAGGTCCAGAGCCCTGGGTGGATGCTGGGCTGGGGGTGGAGGCCGGTGTGGCCTCTGTCAGGACTGGGATGGTTCACAGGGTGTCAGAGGTTGAATTGTATTCCTCAAAAAAGATATGTTGGTGTTCTGACCCCACCCACACCCCCCACCTGGCCAGTGACTCAAGAATGCGACCTTGACCTTATTTGGAAATAGAGTCATTGCAGATGTCATTAGTTACAATGAGGTCTTTCTGAGCGGGGCGGGCCTATAATCCCATAGGCCTGGTGTTCTTATCAGAGGGAACAAACACTGCCTGAAGACAGGGACATGGAGAAGGAATCCATGTGACCACAAAGATTAGAGTGAGGTGTGGACAAGCTGAGGATGCCAGCAAACAGCACGAGCTAGAGAGGCAGGGAGGATGCTCCCCTACAGGTTTCCGAGGGAGCTTGGCCCTGCTAACACCTTGATTTGGGACTCTGGCCAACAGCTGTGAGTTTATGTTGCCTTAAGCCATCTGTGCTGTGGTCCATCTCCAGGCAGCCGGCCCTAGGATTCTGATACAGGGGGGTGTGGTGGTGGTGAGGAAGCTTCCTGGGCCTGCCCGCTCCTCCACCCCCACACCTTGCACATCCCGACCCCAGTGCCCACCTGAGGCTCCGGCAGTAGAGCAGCTGGGGCAGCAGGCTCTGCAGGACGCCCCTGCTGAGGCACAGGGACAGGTTGGCCTCCTGGGCGCAGGCATCAGACACCTGCAGGAGATACGCCAGGGCCGCGCGGTGCTGGGGGCCAGTCAGCCCTGCCAGGCCCCCGCTCTCCATGGCCTCCTCCACGCTGCGGGCCAACTCTGTGCACTGCAGCTCGTGCAGGCAGTGTAGGATGTTGACTGCCCGGGCACAGACGGCCACGTTAGGGCGTAGGCAGCCTTGCAGGAGCTCCGCCACCTGGGCCCGGTAGCCCTGGTGCTCACCCTGGGCCAGCAGGGAGCCAGCCAGCAGGGCATTGACCCTTGGGGACAGGAGTCCTGAGAGGAACCTCAGGAACACGTCCAGCCGCCCATCCTCGGCCTGCATGGCCCGCTGGGCCGCACTCCTGAAGTGTGTGAGGAAGCCCAGGCGGGGCCAGGACATGCCACCCTCGGTGAAGAGGTCGAAGATGGCCCTCTTGGACGCACTGTAGTAGTACGCGGCTGCCACGTACTCCTGCAGGGACAGGTGGCTGAAGCAGTAGGCTGTGGACGAGGCCAGGGTCTCCTCCCGCTGCAGGAAGCAGCCGCACAGGGCGCTCTGCACCAGAGTGAGATCCACGCCGAACGCCTTCAGGTCCTGCTCATAGAACACGTACTTCTTCCTGACCAGCCCATGGAAGGCCAGCCGCCCCAGGGTCCCCACCATCTTGCGGCTGCTGTGGGCCACCTGCTCGATGCGAGGGCTCGCCCTGCCCTTCTCCTGCCGTCCCCACCGAGGGCCATCCTGAAGTAGCAGGAGTAGAGCTCGCAAAGTGTCCTTGGCGCCCACGGCTCTGCATCCTGGGGCCCCGGCTTGCTGCGGCTCAAGTGAGCCAGTGCCGACGCAGCCAGCCGGCAGAAGGCGGGGACCGTGCACATCAGGTACAGAGCCCTGTCGGCCTGCACCTGCCTCAGGACCCAGCCTGAGAGGGTGTGGTCCTCGGGGAACATTTCCTCCAGACACGCCTTGATCTCGTCCTCGTTAAAGCCCCGGATCTCTGTCATCCGGTCCACCAGGCCACCTGGGATCTGGCCAGCCACGTTGGGGCGAGAAGTGACCCAGACAGACACTTCTGGGAAGAGGTTGCCCCGGATGATGTTGGTGATCAGATGGTCCACCTGGATCTCCTTCTTGGGATCTGTGCAGGCCACGGTGTTGGAGAAGTCCAGAGGCATCTTACACTCATCCAGGCCGTCCAGGATAAGGAGGATTTTGGATGGGGCTGCTGCCGCCAGGCCAGACTCCCTGGTGTGTGGGAAGACGGAGTGGACGAGTCTGTCTGCAGACAGCTTCTCGTGGGTGTTGAGATCTCGGAAAGTCAAAGGTAGCACCAGGGAGAAGTCCTTGCCAACCTGTCCCCGGGCCCAGAGGTAGACAAAGTTCCTCACCAGGGTGGTCTTGCCCACGCCAGCGACCCCGATGGTGATGGAGATTCGGGGAGGGATAGACACCCGCGACAGTGGCAGGAAGAGTCTGTCGAGGGCGATGGTCCTGGCCGGGTGCCAGCCCCCACGCGTGGTCTCCACCTGTGTGAAGTCGTGTTCCTTCAGCTGCAGGTCCGTCAGCCCCTCCACCAGCAGGAGGCTGGTCAGCCTGGACGGGGGGCCGCCCAGCTCCAGGCTGCCTTTCACCCAGTTCAGCAGAGCCTCCTGGCACTTCTGTGTCCTCGAGTCTGTGGGACAGAGGCTGAAGGGTAGGGCTGGGAGGGATGGGGACACGGGAGGGGCCGGGGGGGGGGCCGGGACGCGCTCCCTCTGCCTACCATCGCCAAGTGGAGGCCTGTCCGGGGCCTGCGGGGTCTGGGAGCCCTGGCTGCTCCTCCCGGCCAGCAGGTCCACGAGGGCTTTCACTTGCCCGGCTGGGGAGCCCGAGCCGTGCCCCTGGCCTGCCTCTGTGCCCGGCCGCACCTCCTGCTTCCTCATGGGGTCTGGGATTGCCACCGGGAGCTGGGGAGAGAGCCGTGTTACCCGCCTGGCCTGGGCCAGGAAGGGACCCTCGCTGTGCCCTCCCCAGCCTGCTGGTGGTTCTCAGCCCAGCCCGGGAGGGCCCAGACGGGCGAGGGGGGCCTGCCTCTGATGCGGGGGCCGGTGGATCAGAGCCCAGCCTGGGCTCGAACCCGAGCTCTGCCGCTTACCCGCCGTGGGACGCTGGGCAGGCCGCCTGAGCTGCTTGCGCTGTGGTGTCCTCATTTGTGACCTGGAGATAGAGACGAGGTTCAGGGCAGGTCCGCTCGCAAGAAGGGGTGAAGGAAGGAAGCCAGTCTGGGAAGTGTTCTGTGATTACAGCTCTGCGACCTTCTGGAAAAGGCAGAACTCTGGAGATCGTCGCTGGTTGCGAGGGGCGGATGGGGGTCGGGGGAGCCAGGCAGCCCCGAGGGCGGTGAAGCCACAGTGAGGTCCTACCGTGGGCCCGTGTCATGGTGCTTTGCCCAAGCTCCTACACGTACAGTGTCGCGGTCTTCCTCACTGTTTTCCTGGGGTCTCCTGATGCGCAGGCGCAGTGTTTTCTACTGAGCACTTTGACGGGGAGCCGCTATGAGGCAGAGCTGTGCCCAGGCACCACCTGCCCACCTCCCTTTTCCTCTCTGAGGATTTGAGTGGATCCCGTAGCCAAAGCCGGCCGACCACGTGTCCCTCCCTCAGCTAAGGTGGACACTGGGGGATCCCAAGCCCACCTGCACCCCCTTCCTGTCCTCACCTGTAGCAGGCGGGATGTCCAGCCCACGGCAGCCCTTCTGGCAGGGCCTCAGGAACTCAGGGGGTGCAGGTCGGCAGCCCTCATCCACAGGTCTAGGACAGAAAACAGGACACAGCGCTGGGCAGAGGTCACACCTACTGCCCTGGGTGGCAGGAGCTCACTGAAACGGGTCTGACCCATGCCTCCCAGCCCTGCAGCTCTCTGGGTCTCAGGGATAATCACTTAAGAGGAGTCACTGGCTCCAGCCCCAAGGGGGCCACATACTCCCTGACCTTGTATTTGCATTGGGCCTTCCTGGCATTTTAACTCAGGATGAACCATTTACCTGGAAAATGCTAAAAAGAAGCTTAGCGACAAGTAAAATAGCGTTTTCCAGCCGTTCTGTTCCTAGCGCTATTGAAGCACTAAGTAGTGCAATGAATTCAGGGTAGCTGGTTGGCGTCCAGCCCAGTCGAGGAATCTGGGAGCATTCATAAAAGGCCAGGAGCATATTCTTCGGATCCTCTCACTGTGCTCAATCCTCGGTTCTTGTAAGTGTGAAAACCAAGGTGAGAAGAAACCAGAGGGGATTTGGACTGAAATCTCGTTAATGTGTATAGACTAGAGTAGGGGTCATTGGTCTTCCTTTAGATCCTGTAGTGACGCTGTGTTTTCCCTCACGTGGATCTTGCCAGTTCCCTATTTGCAACTAGATACTTTTTTTTTTTAGATTTTTATTTATTCATGAGAATACACAGAGAGGAGAGAGAGAGAGGCAGAGACATAGGCAGAGGGGGAGGGAGAAGCAGGCTCCATGGCTCCATGAACAGAGCCTGACGTGGGACTCGATCCCTGGTCTCCAGGATCACACCCTGGGCTGTAGGCGGTGCTAAACTGCTGAGCCACCAGGATTGCCTGCGTCTAGATACTTTTAAATGGTTTTTGTTGTTCTTGTGAATTCTGTCGTTATAAAGGAGACAATTTTTGTGTATTTTATCTCCTATCCTATCAACATGTTAGGTATTCACCTTAGTTCTCGTCATTTCATGGTGAATTCTTATCCCAGTATGAATAAGTTCTATTTTCTAAAAACCGCCAGACTTATCTTGAAAAATTTCCCCACATCAGTCAGACCCCCTGCTTCCCCCATGCGGTGGTGAAGGATGGCAGTCGTGCAAGGGCATCTGCATTTTACTCCCAACCGCCAGGTATGATTCCAGCCCAAGCTGGCAGGCCTGACGTTTGCGACAATGTCTAATTAGTTCTCATCTTGAAAAAGATTCCTTGAGTTCCTTGTCTCCTCTTACCATTCAAATAACATTATGTGATACTCCCTGAAGGCTTACTGTGTTCCAGACGTTCTGTTAAGCACTCTTTATTCTACTTCTTGGAGCAACTCTCGATTGCATTATCTTTCCCATTTTATGGATGAGGACATCAAGGCTCAGAGAGGTTAAGTGATTTGCCCAAGGACAACATACAGCTGGGGAGCAGTTGAGTTGGAGAAACCAAGGCTTCACCAACAGAAGCCTTTGTGCTGGATAATCTACTGCCTCTTAGAGTACATTCCCACATTTTTAATAAATGGGGGGGAGGTGCCTGTTAAATGGGGAAAGGCCTTTTGAGCAATATTGATATAGCTGCATGATTTATTTTCATTCACTCATCCAATCATCAGGTACGTATTGAGGGCCTGTCATGTGTCCCGGACACCAGGGGAGGTCAAGGGAAACAAGCTAGACCAAGTCCTGACCCTGTGAGTGTGGTCGGGGTGGAAGCATCGTGACAGTAGGGAAGAAAAGAGGGAAATGAGGGAGGCGCCTCTGCAAGTGATAAGTGCTGTGAAGGAAACACACATTACGCGTGGCAGAGCCCGTTGATGGTCACGGTGGTCAGGGAAGGCCTCTGTGAGAAGGCTACTTAGGAGCAGTGATCTGAAGGGGGAGAAAGTTAATCATGGCAGGACAGAAAAAAACATAATTGCTGGAGCATGGTGAATGGGCAAGAGGGCTCACAAGGAGGGTCAGGAGACAAGGTCAGGGGACTGCTGAGACCTGTTCACTGTTAAAAGAGTTTGGGTCTGTTCTAGATGTGGTGGGAAGCCACCGGAGGGACTGACATGATTGATTCATATCCAGCCTCCTTCAGGCTGCGAGCTACACTAACAGATTTTCTAATATTGAACCAACCTTAGATTCTTGAATACCATCTTCAAGATGGTGTATTAGAACATAATATAGAGCCCAGGGACAAATACATAAAGTATTTACATATGAAGGAGTTTGGTAATGTGGAAAGACAATAGCATTCCAAATTAGTGGGAATGTTGTTGGGGCAAACTGGCCGGCCTATGAAAAATATTCTTTGAGTTTTAATTCATAATGAGCACAAAATTTGATTTCGGTTTGAATGAAAGTGTTAATATTAAAAACACAAAACCATGAAAACACAGTAAGAAAATATGAGAGTATATTTAAAAATATTCTTTGTGTGAGGAAGGCTATTTTATTTTTATTTTATTTTTTTTTTAAAACAAGATGTAAAATCTTGGACTCACAAGGGAAAGACTAACAGACTTATTTAAAATTTCCAAATAACAGTAAAAGCCATAAGCAAAACTGAAAGAAAACCTCAAGCCAGGAGTCAACCTCTGCAATACACATGAAAGAGCACTGATATCCTTAATATAGAGAGAGCTCTTATAATCAATTAATTTCTTAATTAATTCTTATAAGAAATTAATGAGAAACCTAATTAATTAATTAATTAATTTCTTATAAGAAATTAATGAGAAACCAAATAGAATTCTAGACACAGATAATTATGGATGTAGATAGAAATAGAAAAAAGGATACAGATAACTCATGGAAGTATAAATGACCCAGGCATTAAAAAGATGCTCATTCTCACTAATGATCAAGAAAAAAACAAAACAATGAACTACTGTCTTTCATCTGACAAAGATTATAATGACATAACAGGTTGCATTGGCAAGAAAGTGGGAGTGGTAGGAATTTAACACACAGCTAGTGGAAGGGTAAATTAGTGTGATTCTGGATCATATTTTGCTATTATCTGTTGCTATTAAATATCTTTTGCCCCAGAAATTCCACTTCTGAGATTTTATCGCAAAGAAATAACTGGACAAGTGCACAAAGATGGCGCTACAACTGTGATCCCGAAGCATTCTTTGTAACAAGTTGAAGGAGAAAAAAACCTAAATTTCTGTTCAAAGAGGGTTGTTAAATTATTAAGGCCCTGTTATATAGTGGAAAACTCTATGGCTATAAGAAATAAGGTCAAACTGGAAAAATGTCCATAGTGTATTTTTTAGCTGTTAATGTCATAAAGGTTTTTTTATTTTATTTTATTTATGATAGTCACACAGAGAGAGAGAGAGAGATCCCTGTTGTAAAGGTTTTAATCACCTTTTTGAGGTATAATTTATATACAAAAAATGCATCTGTTTCGAGCATAGAAACGGTTTTGAGATTAGTTCTGGACAAATGTATACACCACTGTAACAACTATCACAGTCAAGACCTTGAACATTTCTTCCTCCAAAAAAATCCCCTCACGCACCTTTGCGGTCTGTCCCACCTATGGCCCTCTGGCCCTGAGCCATTGATCTGCTCTTTTTGTCTAAGATTAGTTTTGCCTTTTCTAGGGTTTCACATAAATAGAATCATACAGATCTCCATGGTTTTTCTTTCTTCATTTAAAAATTGTGGTAAAAATAAATAAATAAATAAAAATAAAAATTGTGGTAAAATAGGGGTGCCTGAATGGCTTAGTCGGTTAAGAGTCCATCTCTTGATTTAGGCTCAGGTCATGATCTCAGGAGCCCTACTTCTGGCTCCGTGCTCCCTCCCCCATGCACACACAATGAGGGAGAGAATCTTCAAGCAGCCTCCCCACTGAGTGCAGAGCCCCATGTGGGGCTCTGTCTCATGACCCTGAGATCATGACCTGAGCCAAAACCAAGAATTCCCCAGGTCGACCAGCTGAACCACCAAGGCGCCTCCTTGCTTTCAGTTCTTGAGCATATGCCCATAAGTGGTAATTCTGTTTTTAATTTTTTGAGGAACTGCCACACTACTTTCCACAGATTTACCATTTTACATTCCCAGCAAAAGTGCATAAGGGTTCCAATTTTTCAACTTTCTCACCAATGCTTGTTGTTTCCTGTGTTTTTGGTAGTAGCTACCCTAACAGATGTGAGGTGGGATCTCGTTGTAGTGTCAAT